ACCAGGATCATGTTCTTCCCACCCATTTTCTGATATAGAATGTTTATAAAGCAAACAAAGCTGTTTCAATACTGTAACCTGGACAAAGCTCCTTACTAAAATAGATCCCAAACCCCCACTTTCACTTTCACCAGGTGCCTGTAAAGCCACCAAACCACAATTCTGTCATTCACCTTTCCCAAATATTTGACAGATTTTCTTCTAAGTGAAGAAAAGGGGTTTTCAACAAAGGTTTTAGAACCTCCTCCTTTAAGCATACAGGGACACATCCATACTCAGAAAGTCTTTGATCCCCCCTCCCCTAACTGAATCACCAGGAAGATCAAGGATTGAGCAATCATAGGTGGTGAGTCTCTATACATCCTGTTTACCTCCTCGAGATCTAGAAACTGAAAAGATTTCATATGAACCTAGCAAGTGATTGCTAACATTATCTCCTCATTATTGCCTTCCTATGGAATCCAAATTAAGGCAAATCCAATTAACTTTCTCTACAAAGAATGATGAAGGTTGTTTATTGATTAAACCAATTTATATAGCTGCCCATGTCACAGGCAAGTGACTGTGGGCAGTGTACAACAGAGCTTAAAAGGTAATAAATATATTAAAAAGTATAAAAGCCAAACCTTCTCAATACAACCACAAGGTTATAATGAACCTTTGGTGTTCTCCTCCTTCAATATTTTATTGGACGAGATGCCATATGTCGTTAACTGCTTGAGCCGTATCAGTATTCCAAAACTCAGTGGAAGTTTAACAGTATCACTGACAGATAAGGTGAGAAATTCATGGAACATAATCAGAACAGCATCTAGATCCACCAGACACACGGGTTTGACTATTTCAAATATTACAAAGAATTATATAAACTGTCTCCACTTTCAGTTCAATGGCATGAGATAAACAAAACATCAAATCTAGAATATGACCTGTTATACCGGTAGCAATGGATCTAGATACCAGCCAGGATGGGGTCCATCATCTTATACCGGTAGCAATGGATCTAGATACCAGCCAGGATGGGGTCCATTCCAATCTCTGAAGGAAATCAAAACCTCCCAAAGCAGTAAATCCATCATAGTCTACTGCCATGCCAAAAATCACTTCAGCTAGCTAAGAAAGACAGACTCTTGTGGACTGAAATGGATTGTACATTTAACACTTTTTCTAGATTATTTCAGCCACCCAAGCACAGCCAGCAGCAAACACCCTGAATCTGCAGTCTATGGGACAGAATGTCTGGCCAGTGAAATATAATTTCTATAGACTATACCTCCTCTCCCTTCCAGCCCTAGAATATTACATCATAAAGTATTCCAGTAGAGAGCTTGTGAAAAAAAATTCCAAAAAAATTGCCAGGTCAAGGAAAAAATCCTGGATAATAAACATGTTATCAACAAATGACATTAAAAAGTAGGAACTTTATGTTGGTGGCTCCACTGTCAACATCATCTAGAAAGGAGGTACGGTAACAATAATTTCTTATTTAAGACCTAAAAGAATTCCTAACTTTAATTGCTTTAGTATACGGTATATTAGCGAAGGAAAAGAATTGTAGCTCTGAATGAGTTCTTCAAGAACTGGAAGATGATTCTTTGAATAGCAGAGGCTTGTTCTCTTTGCTTGCCTTTTCCTCCCACAAATCAAATATTGAACTATATAATTCAAAGTAGAATTTTGCCGTGTCCACTAAAGAAGAAAGTAGGTTAACTGTAATAATGTGTCACATACTGAGGATGACTTTTATTTTTTATATGCAGTAGAGAATTACTACCTGTGAAATGAAGGGAGGGAGATGTACTGAGATAATACTGTTGACTATTTGAGATTTCAGTTACCAAACCACCGATTAGGATTTTTTGGGTATTAGTTTCTCTGAGTGATCTATTTTTAGTGCCTAGTATAAGTATCTTATCTACAAGATAAAACTAAATACATAGGTCAGCTCCAGCAGGAAGTATTCAGCGGCTGCTGATGTAAAGGCTGTGACACACATTTTTTTAAGTTCTTTTCTTCAGCCTAGCATTTAGCTGCTGTCATCTCATGCAACTATATTCACACCATGATACTTTTACGTGAGAGCACAAAATCAGAAACTGATAAAGTTGAACAAAGAAAACATTAATCAGATGAACTTTCAATAAAAACAAGTGAAAGGTTAATAGTAAATTCATGATTTAATGAAATGCATTATGCCAGTACATTTTAAGGAGATTACTGAAGAGGTAAGAGAGGAATAATGATAATTTCTCAAAATGTTCTTAGTTCCTAAACATTAGCTTTTGCTGCCATTCCCTAAATGCCATCCTTGGTGGGAATTAAGATTCAACATCAGTTTCTCTCTCCCTTGATATGAAAATGATAGGAGGGACTTTATCTTGCATTTCTCCTCAGGAAGTGATAGGCAGGTCATGTTCTAATAAAGATAAATACAAACAGCTCAATTTAATCTTAATTCATGATATAAAGTACACTGACATTTACTCCAAGGTAAAATGTCTGAAAGATCATGGCTCTCCCCCCCCCCTTCCCAGAATCAGCATTATTGAGAACTGCGTTCTAGCATGTTATTCTCCAGGAATATTTCTAAAGCTGACTGAGAAGCTGCAGAATGAGAAGCTGTCCTCTTATCAGGCCAAAACCAAAAATGACAACTCTTCCAAGCTAAGTTGTTTACTGTTTCACATCTATAGACAAAATCTTGCCAGGCTAAAAATTCTTACTATCTGTATCTACAATACATTCTGTGAGCTATTAGGGAGGGACTGCCTTCATCCTCTTTCTCTCACACATAATCTCTGGATTAAGTTGCCTCTTACTCTTCTAGAAGGTCCCTCTAGAAGACGTACCTCTTCACCACATTCCATCTCACGTCATCTGCATTTCTTTCCTTTGATAATGCAACTCTTTGTGGCAATTAGAGAATTTCTAAGGCTTAGTTGCTCACAATTCAATGGAATTTGTTTGCTACATTTATGATCTCAGGGCCCAATCATCAACCATTTCTTTTTATAAGAGTCATGCTAGCATAGCAAGTTTGAAGATCCACTTGCAGGTTTTGGGAAGAAACCTTCCTAGACATCAAGAAAACTCAATAATTTGCTGTTACGGTTGTCATTTCTAGATCTTGAATTGACTTAAGTCCATCCCTATTTGAGAATCACAAACTACATTGTAAATCCCAGGCAGCTCTACTTGGAAATAGCTTCTGTTCTGAGAAAGCAACATCACCAACTGCCACTTTGTCAATTTCTTAGCTACATCACACACTTGAAACCTTATTCAGTTACATATTTTTCCTGACAAGCAAAGAAAAGCAAGAAGGGGTTGATGGAGCTAAGAATACCACAAGCTCCATCACCTAAAACCAGCTTTGCTATCATGTTCAGTTGCCAATACAAATGTCACTTTTTCGATATTTAATTTTCCTTTAGGCTGGCAACTGAAGGGAAATTTGATATCCCTTAGGTACAGCTCCAATTACTTCCCTCCAAAGGGGCTTGCTTACTTTCAGAGAGAGGCAAGTAACCTCTTTTTTGTAACCCAGGAAAGGAGAGGAACACATATACTGCATTTTAAACATTTTCAGTGCTTAACGACTGCAATGAACAGGGCATGTGAAACTGTCCTGCTGTTACTTCACAGTTTGCCACCAAATTTTAGTACCATTTTGTTGGGCAGCACTATGCCAAGAAACAGGGTTGCTCATCTTTTACATACTTCTTTGTTACAAACATGAAGAGAATTTGTTCTCCATGCATTAACTGGGGGATTCTCGACCCAAAGGGATTCTGTCACTCCATAAGGAAACAATCATATGGATTTGCCACATGATTCATTGGACACCCTTCCAGTTTTGTGAAATCCCATAAAAATGGGAAGATCTCACTTTTGAGTAAATCTAATTAAGAGTATACCACAAACGGGATTTATTTATATAGGAGCAAACTTTTACCCACGCATAAGGCTCGGCTTCATAAAGACATGGTAACAGCAATATTTTCTAGTTTAACTGGCTATTGATATCTGAACTGGGAATGTTAATAAAAAGACTCTCAAGCTCCAAACGTGTTTGAAGCTTAGGTTTATAGATGTAGATCAATCACTTAATAACAAAAACCCTTGATTAGACTCTTGATTTTCCAGTGGGATTTTACTATTATTTTAATAAAGAAGCAATTGTCCTTGAATGCTAACTTGAAAGAAAGGCCAAGTTCTATAAAGATCTCCCTCTAGGATAGAATTCCCAACAAACTGCTTTAAAACAATGTGTTAAATGTATAAAAGCAAGGTTAAGAAGAGCAAGTTCACTAAAAAAAAAGTATTAAATGTCAGAAGCACCAAATAACCTTGAATAGCTGTGAAGATTAGATGGGCTCTGTTTCCTCAATCTATTGCAGGAAGCCAAAAATGTTCATATTCATTTCAAGTTGAAAAGCCTTATAATGCCTGAACATTAAAATCAATTTGTGAAATATATTGTATCCTCCCCTCCTCCTATAGAGAAAGCAATCAACTTTCTGAGATTTGAACTAATTGAAAGCTCACAAGTACTTATTTTAGAAAAGTAGAAAAAAGTGAAAACTGAAAGAGTGACTATCCCAATTCCTGCAGAAAGTTCTTCATTTTAGAAAGATGCTGGCTTTCTTGATGAAAATCCCAAATTACCTTCCAAACTGTGGTCATTGGCTAAAGACCAAACAATCAGAGGCTGAACTATGGTAATATCTAATCACCCCTTTTTGTTTCAGATGAATTGCTTTGTCTATTTAATAGCCTTGTAAATTAAACCAGTTTACAGGAGTATAACAGTAAGATTTAACACTTTAATTAACAAGAGTATATACAGATAATTAGATATATAATCTTAAGTGAAACAGCTTATTAAAACATTCAGTCATGATTTTCCATGCAAAACTTTTTTTTAAAAAAATGGCAAGTATTTTCAAAACATGCATTTTTAATATAGAAGTATTTCAATAAGAAAACTTTTTTCTAACCTTGAGATTGCGTGCTAAATAAATTACCTCGGAACGAAAGTGATGTGTTCTCATTACAGCATCTAGAAAGAGAAGAGAGGGGAGGGGGAAGACACGACTGTATCTGTCTCCATTTCAGAACAGCAGCATCCACATTCTACAAAATTAGTCGGGTTTTTTTTTTTAATTATTTCCAATCAACCGTTACCATCTCCCACATGAAAGTGTGCGGTCTTCTCGACGCAGAGCTGACCCCAAAAGCGAACGTGTGTATATATATATATATCTACGTATTTCCTCTCTTCGAAGTTGATGGGAAAGTTACAGTCTACTTGACTGTTGGGGGGGGGGTGTTCGCAACCATCAGACTGGCATTTAAAAATTGAGGTTGGGGTGGAGATTAGGCTGCCGCAACCTCTGCACTTCTCCACAGTCCCTTTCCCAAATATTTGGAGCCCTGCCATTAGGATCGCCGTTCTCCGCAACGGCGAAACCCATCCTTCTTACCCTGGGCAGATGCCGGGGGATTCCCTTTGACATCCCTCCCACCCCCGTCCCCCACCCCCGTTTAAGCGGCGGAACCCCCCTCCTTCCCTTCCCCCTCGGCCAAGGTGAGCAAGCCAACACTGCGTCTCTTACCTCGGCTCCTTGAGCGCCCTGCGAAGACCGATTTGATCGGATGCCTCCCTTTCTGGAACTTACGGTGCCAGGAGCAGAAGAATAAAATCGTGGCGATGGTCCCCACCAGCAGAAGCAGCAAGAAGAGGGCACACTGGATGCTGTAGGGTCTCAGCAAGACCAAAAAGGCAGCCGCGATCATGGTTCAAACGGGTCTGCGCTTACGTGTGTGTGTGTGTGTGTATTCGGGTGGAAGAAATCCAGGGAGGATCTTTTTTAAAAAAAATAAAAATTGCTGGCCCGGGGTGGGGGGGGGTGAGGCAGGAAGCTCCGAAGGAATGCTGAGGAATCAGCCCCGAAGGACAGCCATGGAGGGTTGAGAAAAACGCAGCGAAGGGCAAGCTGGCCTCTTTAGACGGCCGGGAAGGAGGAGCATGAGCGTGCGGCCCGGGAATGAGGGCTCCGAATGGCTGCAGCAGCACCGCTCTAAGACGTGCTAGTGATTTCCTCGGGAGAGAGCAGAGCGAGAACGAGAGCAAGAGCGAGCGAACGAGCCCTTCAGTCCATGACTCAGCAGACAAGCAGGCGGTAGGAGCACAGGAGGGGAATCAGGACCCCTTTTTTTCTTTTTGCGCGCGTAAAAGGGGAAGAGGAGAGATCCAGATGAAGCAAAGGTTGAGGGATCAGCGGCGGCAGCAGCAGCAGCAGCATCCAAGCTGCAATCCCGCCTGGAGACAGGGAGAGGGCACCCCAGCAGAGTTGCCGCTGCAGCAGCGGCAACAGCCTGGCGCTTCTGCCGCGCGCCTTGAGCTCTTGCATCCCCGCAAAAGCTCGGAACAGTGATGTTGCCGAAACGGAGGAAACGGCCGCGGCGCCCGCAGCCGCCGTCGCCCCCCTTAAGAAAGCGCTTTGCAGAGGGGGGCGGGACGGGAGACCGGGAGAAGGGAAGGGGGGGTCGACTCCAAAGTTTGCTGCCTCTGCTGATGACTGTGCTTGGCTGAGGGGAGGGGGCTGCTCGGGTGGTGGGATTGGCTGTTTGATGGTGGATGACATCACGGGCGGCTGCTACTGCAGAATGAAAAATGGCTGCTTTAAGGTATGCCAGTAAGTGAGGTGTTTCTGTTTTTTGGTGTTTTTTTTTTTGTTTTTTTTTCCAGCTGGTGGCAGCCTGGGAGAAAACGAAAGATCATTGCTCGATCCTGAGGGGAAGACACCATCATCTCTCCGCGACCAGCAGACTGGGGACCGAGAGAGCGAGGGCTGCAGCTTTGGACTGCAGAGGGGAAATTTTCCCCGTGCAGATCTTGCACTTTTGAAAGCGAGACCCCGGGAAAGGACGAGAGGAAGAGGAGAAGACTTTAGCTCCGCGCCCCGTTTCGGTCCCTTCAGTCAGTTCAGAAATCGCGTGTTTCGCGCGCTTTCTTTCCCTCGCAGAGGCGCTCGCTCACCGGGGTGAAAACCCAACTGCCGAGAGAGGCGTCAAACAAACGCAGCAGCTGGGACCTGCAGTCCGCTTGAACAGTAACTGCGCGCCTCCTCAAGGGCAGCCCGCTGAACTCGACGGTTTCCGAATGCAAACGCCAAAGGGTTGTGCTGTTACTACTATAGCATCTCTACCCTTCATCCAGTTTAAACTGTTCGAAACAGGACGTATTTTGATTCAGCAGGCGCTGTAGGGAGAAACCCGTGTGAGATTATGGTGGCAAAAAAAAAAATCGGAAAAAATCTGGTAGCAGTTTTTCCAGCTCACGACTTTTTAATAAGGTGTTAGTTAGAAAAGATGCTACCTATTTAATTCTGATTTATTGAGCAGTAAATCCTGACGAAATCCAGGACCCGTGACCCTAAGTGTGCAAACACTGCACTGTTGAGTTTGATTACTGAGGTCAGTTATTCATCATAGTTATTCCTCTCTTGATACTGATTGCTATAGTATTTGGCCTCCAGATATGTCATTACAGAGACCTGGTTATCACTGGTACTTAATGTTACAGCACAAGGATAATATGTTAAGTTAAAAAAATTCTGTATTTCTTTTGCCTTCAGTTTTGCAATTAAATTGTTATTGTAATATTTATTTATTTATTTATAAAATATGTTTTAGTTCAAAAAAATTCTTTTTGAGATACCCAAAAAGAACACATAGAGAATATTGCAGAATTGATATTATGGATATTTAGGCAGATACATGCTCTCAGTAGTAAAAATAGCTAATTTCCTGTCTGTCAACATGTAATACTAAACTTTTAAGATTTCCTAATATTTTTCCAAAAGAACTTGCTCCATTTTTTTCAGTGATAACCACAACAGATGTATGGAAATTGAATAGTTCACTTATAATAAAATATATAAGAGAAGGTTTTACTGTAGTTTACTGATAATTTCCTGGTTGGGTTCACACAACTCAATAAGCCTTGTTGCTATTCTATTGAGTAAACCACAGCTTGGTTTATAGTAAACCATGAACAAGCAAATTATGGCTTACCATATTTTATGAATCCAAGTACATACTTTTTAAAAATTGCATATTTTCTCTTTTTTTTTACCAAGAAAACAATACTGAAATAGTTTTTGCTGACTAGAGCAATATGTAAATAGGAAAATATTTTATAAATCTATTGCGTGAGCCAAAATGTAATCCTAAATTTGTATTTTTATCATATTGGTCCAATGCAAACATGCCAACTGGAATATTAGTTAATAAGGAAATAATAACTAAATATGTGTAGATTAAAATGCTAGATCAATCTCAGCATTTTTTAAATACTCAGCTGTCATGATAAAATAATAAGTATTTTACTGCCTAATTGCTATATTGCAACCTGATGTTAACTTAGAAATTAATTGCATATTGTGTAGTGGAGCTTCTTCATTTAATTTGTAATTGTACCATGAAGTTCTGCATGTGCTTTATATATTTAAAAAAATGCTACTGCACTATGTTTAATGGGGCGCACTGCCTTGCAAGTATATTTAAGATTGAATTTTCAGGCTTTTTCTTCTTATCTGAACATAAATCCTATGGTTGGCATGACATACAGTATCCATTTAAATTACCCATGGTTTATCCAGTTTTTTGACTTTGGACAATACTGTATGACAGGGTGTCAAACTCAATTTCATTGAGGGCCCGATCAGCATTGCGGTTGCTTTCAGGGGGCCAGGTGGATGTGGCCAGGGTGGGTGTGGCCAAGGTGGGTGCGACCTACTGGGTGGGCGTGGATGGAGTGGGTGTGGCCTACTGGGTGGGCATGGCCAGCTCCACATCGTTCGCATCAAGGGTGCCTGTGGGGGCCTGGGCAGGAGTGGGATAGATCTGAGTGTCTCTGACAGAAGGGGGTGGGACCAGGACAAGTGCCAAGGCATGGTCCACTGGAGGAGCCTCACCTTTCCTCTCAGGCCATGCAGTGGGGGGGTCTTATGGAGCTAAGACTGAATGCGTTTCAGCATAGATGGCCACCACAAAACTGTACATTGGCTCCCGGCTGGCCTGGCCAGGGCCAAGGCAGAGGGGGCCGTTCCCTCACTGTTTCCAGGATAGTTTCGCAGGCACATGAAACCACTTCATGGGCCGCATCCGGCCCCTGGGCCTTGTGTTTGACATGTCTGCTGTATGATAAGCTATAAACTAGGTTGCATTTCCACAATGTGTTACATTAAAACCTGATTGCCTAGTTTTGATTCAGTATGTTGTGCAATTCCAGTCAAGGAGTACACATTGAATCTGCAGGAAAGACATGAATAGAAGTGCTTGGCTAATTAGCTAGATTTTTTTTCCTACAGTTCATCTTTTTTATCTAATCTTACATGGATAATTTATATTAGGACTCATAGCTTAGTTTTGCATACATGCATTGAAAGTGTATTGCATGATGTCACAAATGCAGTCTTTTTAAACACTGCAGTATATTACAGACACTGTAAAACACAGGTTGTGCTAAGATTCTTCCTAAGATTCCCATAGCTTCAAGGTGAAACTACTCTTCATTCAGTACTTTGTCGCAATGCAATGCAATGCAATATCATTTCTGTCACACACAATGCACATAGAACATAACAGGAAAAAGATTTACAATGCAGCAATATTTGTGAAAAAAATCTTTGAGTGGATGACGAGTGGCAAATAAAACAATTCAGGACCATGAAGGTATGAGGAGAAAGAAACTGAGTGGTTTGAGTACACATGTAACAGTTTTTTATATAGAGATTATCCTTAATGGTATGCTTGATATGCATTTTTATTGCAAAACCATTTAAATCTCTTTTGACAGTGGAAAGTAACTAGAAATTGAAATCATGCTTATTCAGATGACGTGTTAGCTTTAAGCAAACCATGGTCTATGGTTAAGAAACCTCAAGCAATGGACGAATTAATATGGCTTATCCTCCAAACATTTTATGACTAGAGATCCACTTACTGCAGTGGTTCTCAACCTGTGGGTCGGGACCCCATTTGGGGTCGAACGACCATTTCACGGGGGTCGTCAAACAAGGCTATCCGCCATTTTTCCCCCTTTTCTTTGGCCACGCTCCTGGCATCCGGTGATGTATAAGTGGTTGGGGGTCACCACAACATGGGGAACTGTATTATGGGTTCGCGGCATTAGAAAGGTTGAGAACCACTGACTTACTGCATTAAGCCAAAATTGGTTGAGTGGGTGCTTGTAGTTTAAATGGTTGAACACATCTGTTCTGCTTTGTAAGCTAATTCAGAATATTGTGCCAATCAATCAATTGTGATTTATATCCTTTAAACCATAGCTTAATGAAGTGTGTGATCAACCAATTAAGTATGGTAAAGAGGAGCTAGACATCACCCACTTTCAGATAATGAAAGAATAGTTAACATGTTAGTCTTAACATGCTTGTTCCCACAATACACTCTGCAATCACTCAGTTACTTCTGGAGTTTTGTTTCAATTATTTTGTATTTTTTATTCTTGTTCATCAATCTTACAGTTCCTTGTTAGTAGATGTTAGTTTAATGAATGAATGAATGAATGAATGAATGAAATAAACAAATAAATAAATAAACCTTGCCAGCAATTCTGTAGAACACTAATGGAACCAGGAATATAATATCCAAATCTAATTTTTCCATGAAGTATCCCTGTCCTATGAGCCACTGTGACTGGGAGAGTTTAGCCACTGAGTCCCAACAGAACATGCGTTAAGATATAACAGCAGAGGGCTGAGCTCTGCTGGTCAGACAAATTGGCCAAAAAGCAGGCCAGCAGAAGAGGAAATTCTGACAAAATGTTTCAGCTGTGCATTTGTGTGGAAGTTTGGCTCGCCTTATTTGTTGGCCTCCCTCCCTGACAGAAAATGCTGACAACAACTTTTCAAGCCTCAGCTCTGTTATATGTACCTTGCTGGTGTAGAAAGTTGGGAATATGACCTTGGCAGGATTCCTTGGGTAGGCAAAAGTGATGAAGCATTTTTTTAACTTCAGAATCAGACAACATTCAGAAGCAAATCAGGCAGACGCTCCCAGAACTTCACTAGAATATCAGATGAAGAAGAAGTTACAGGACATTCAGACTTGCAAGATGGTTATTAAAACAACTCTTCGTAAAAGTAGTTTTAGCTTTCTTCTGGAGTTGATTTCCTGATCTGGTCTATTCAATCAAGTTGATAGAGCTCTGAATTCCACATCACTGTGTCTCTCATCTGTTTCCTTGGATTTGTCACTGGTTTATTGGATTTCTAGTCTCAACCTGTGCCAAGCCTGTGATTACATTTACAGTTGCCATCTTAAGATACTGTTAAAAAGGACTCTTCTAAAAAGTTCTGCCTGAGCTTGCATGTCATTGGTCTGTGGCAAACATCCAGCTTGCTGGGTAGGTGCCAGCACAAAAATGATGGGACGTAAATCTAATAACTGAATAACAGTCTCAAACAAGCCACTCCCGACTGAGCAGTAATTATTTCTTCCTTTTGCTATCGGGTAGAAAAATAAGTTGCTTGCAAATCTGGCATATGGTTAGGTGGTCCCTCCCCTTGCTCAGATTAAGAATGAGACAGGTATATTCTTGATTTGTCTCTATGCAGCCACGGAATCTAGGAACCCAACAATTCCCACATTTCTACTCTAAAGGTGAGAAGGAAAAAGAACACAATTCTACCCCATGTTGTCTGCTCCTGGATTGTTGAAGAAGCAAGAGTTTTAAATTAATGAGATAGCTTGACACACTTCTGGTCAGTATAACAAATAAATATTATAGGACCTATGCTTAACATTTTCTCCACAGCACAACATTTTCAGACAACAATAATAATAAAGTTGGAAGGGACCTTGGAGTCATCTAGTCCAACCCCCTGCTCAGGCAGGAAACCCTATACCATTTCAGACAAATGGCTGTCCAGTCTCTTCTTAAAAACTTCCAGTGTTGGAGCAATTTACCACTTCTGGAGGCAGGTTGTTCCACTGGTTAATTGTTCTAACTGTCAGCAAGTTTCTTCTTAAGTTCCTTTTCTATTATTGGGTTAAACATGTTCTTCAAATATGAACTCTCCACGATAAAAATCCATTGCAGGCCCAGTTTGAAAATTAGGTGCTGAATTGGTTCAGAAAAAAAAAAAAGTTCTCTCTCCTGCCAACTTGCGCCAATTCCCACCATCAAAGTCTTTGTGACATATCTGCATTTTTATCAGATTAAATATGATGCAATAGTCATAAAGAAAATGCCAACACATAAAGCCAAATCAAAATTTGGATAAAATTGTGGACAAACATTTAGGTTCTTCAGTTTTTTCAGTTAATTAAATGCCTTGAAGAGGATTCAAGTGTTAATGGGTGCATGGACAAATGCTCACTATCTTAGCCTGTCTTTGGTAATAAATCATAGCTTGCTCTTTTTTTTTTCTTTGTCCATTCCAGTCAGTGTTGACTCCTAGCAACTCTCTCGCAACTCTGCAGTTTTCTTGGCATAATTTCAGAAGTGGTTTGACCCTGCCATCTTCCTAGGGCTAAGAGTGATTGGCCCAAGGTCATCTAGCTGGCTTCATGTTGAAGGTGGGACTAGAACTCACAAGTCTCCCGGTTTCTAGCTTCATACCTTAACCACTACACAAATTGGCTCTTTATACCTCTTTCTGGAGATCCATGATCTCTTTAGTCCTACCACATCCACTTTATATTGTTTTCCTCTAGTTTTCTTCCAATATTGCCAAGGATTGTGATATTTTCTAGTCCATTGGCTTGTATCACTCAGCCAAAATATGTGTAAGTTCTGCTTGCTGATCCTTGGCTCAAGGGAATAGTCAATGTTTATTTGGTTTTTAGGTACACTGATATTGAAAAAAATATTATTTGAGGAAAGGGGTAGATAGAATGAGAAAAAAGGATTGAACTTAATTTGGCCAGAATCATTAATACACTAGTAAAAGAAAATGCTATTTTGAATATTGAATATTACAGATTGGATTAGATGTTAAAAATTGTGATCTATTCCAATAGAGCAATGGTGACAAACCTATGGTATGCATGCCAGAGGTGGCACTTAGAGCCCTCTCTGTGGGCATGCATGCCCTGACCCAGAGATGGCAACTGTCCTCTTCAACCAGCCACCCACTGACTCGCCGAGGTCCTACATGGCCAGATGCATCCCAGCACCCATGCGCTCGCTGGTCTCTGTGTGCGGGAGCCAATAGTGTCAGGCAGCAACCGCCCCAGCCCCACCTCCTGCCTCACCTTGCTCTGCGACAATGGCACCCCGGCCCTGCCTCGCCTCACCTCACCCACAGGATGAGCCTCCTGCCCACCACCCCACCCACCAAAGACCCCCTGGATCTCACCAAAATTGCCCGGCCCCCACAGGCGTCCCTCCCCAGGAGCAATATCAAGCTGACCATGCTCACCTGTCTACCATGACCACCGTAGCCACGCCCACCTGTCACCCAGCAATACATAAGAGGTGTTGGGTTGCAGTTTGGGCACTCGGTCTCTAAAAAGTTCGACATCACTGCAATAGAGCATTCTCCAGTGCCTTCACTCAAAAGTTAATTGTGTAATTGTTCAGTATTTCTCTCCTTATGGAATTTTATTTGGAAGGAAAAAGACAAGGGGACTTTCAGTGGAGGAAATTATAATCTGAATTCTTAACATTCTAATAATTACTGCAGTGAAAACTTCATTTATAAACAGTTATTGTGTGCACCTTACCGTATTCCTAGCTTTAATCTGACATTGGTCTAGCATCTAATGTACAATGCAAATGATTGTGCAATTCCTCCATTTCATCTTAAGACTTCAATGGAACTCATGTTTTTTTCTTTTTATCTTCTTCCCACTTATGTCCTTTCTCTTTTCAACGTGATACGTGTTTAAGTTACTTGTTGATCATGAAACTTTCAGAATTTTATGCATGAGTGTGCATACACAAGCATCCATACATGGAAATGATCTGCAAGCTGTAGTGGAGAAAGTCAAGGTGCACAGTGACCAACGGGACTAAAATTATAAAGAAGACCATGCTAATGACAACACCTAAAGAGAGCAGCCTTTGAAGTGACCATGAAGACTGAAATGAGGGATAGCTTTTGTCTTTTATTACTTTTCAACAGTAAAGGAACCAGCAAACCAAAATACTGCACAGACTAGTCCTTAGGTTTTAGATGGTTAGATGCCGTTACAAGTCTAGGCAAAGTCAGAATCATACAGGCAATGTCTTTCCCATGAACTCTGTGAAAATTAACTATGAAGAAGCAGGACATAAAAAGCATTGATGGTTATGAACTCTGATAGTGGAGAATACTGCTGAGAACAAAAGATACTCAAGAAGGAAAATGTGGCTCATAAGACATATCAATCTAGAATTTCTACTCAAGGTGCAAATGGGAAGGCTCAATTACGTATTCTGGATATATTATGCAAAGACCTAAATCTCTAGAGAAGTCCATAATCCTGGGAAATAAAGAAAGAAAGAAAGAAAGAAAGGAAGGAAGGAAGGAAGGAAGGAAGGAAGGAAGGAAGGAAGGAAGGAAGGAAGGAAGGAAAGGGACAAACAACCAAAAAGTGCATAGACTCTGTTATAGTACTGTAATGATGGGTGCATGTTGGAAGACCTAAAAGGGACAGGTTAGGGCAGTGTTTCTCAACCTTGACAATTTTAAGGCATGTGGACTTCAACTCCCAGAATTCCACAGTCAGCAATGCTGGCTGTGGAATTCTGGGAGTTGAAGTCCACATGCCTTAAAATTGTCAAGGTTGAGAAACACTGGGTTAGGGGCAGATCATCCTGAGGAATTGTTCTTTTTGCAAAAGTATTTCAATATTTTTTTTTTATTTTCCTTCTACAAGTGAGTTACATTCTAAAAAATGAATTTATTTCAGTAAATTCACTGTAAAGGTAAATTGGCAGAAGCTCTGTAAAATACACTAACTGTGGTACTGATATTTATATGATGGAGAAAATCTATGTGGTCATTAAGTCACCAATTTGATGGCACATAATCAAAGGATTGATAATTGTATATTTTTTAATCTTTTATGCTGCTGTGAGAACATTTCTAATATTTTAGAAAAAAATAAATGTTAAAAATCTTAACATTTTTAATTTGAACATTTCCTCAAATTTGTGTGAGGAATAGGAAACCCTTGTAGGCAATTGTTTGTGAAAATGTTATTTGACTTTTTATACTATTTTTTCATCTCTTTATATTATTCACTGAGGAAAATAGCAAAAGACAGCTAGACATTATCCTAAGGGTACATGTTGTCATAGTACATCATGAGTAATGTATTACAAATTTGGATAAAGCTGAAGTCAGAGATTCATAATGGGAAATGCATAAAGCACAAGGGTAATAAAAAAAGTATCCATGCATCTCTCTTATTCTAGGTCCTTGTCTTGGCAATAACAAAACTACCCAAAACATTTAGAAATCTTGCTGACACAAAGCCAGCATTGTGCAATCCTTCCAAAAAAGCAGGCAATACAGAGTTACCTGTATAGCAATTGACACTTTTGAGAGAAAGATGGTGGAAATGACTAATATTTCATATTTCCCCCTCCCTGCCCCATCCCATAATTGTAACCAATTGTACCATAAGATTCTAAAAACAGTAGAGAAACCAAATCGTAAGAGGAGAAAGGAAATTAATTTGAAAAAGACAAGTAGGTTATAAGAAAAGGGAAAGAAGAAACATAATCTGGCTAATTTTAGAGCCATGTCTTTTCAAGGTTACGCAGTATGACCCCTTTTCTGATGAAGGTTTTTTTAAAAACTTGTAAACTCTTTTATATCCTGCCAGTAAAAAAAGTACAGTACTATATTCCAAACACCAGACAATCCGTTTTTGAACTTTTGCCCTGCACATGTAATTTAAAGCAAAATCCTCTCATCTGTACTGTTTCTTCATCTACCTCAGGCATGTCCAACCCACAGCCCATGGACCTTATGCAGCCCTGGACAGCCAATAATGTAGCTCGACAAGATATAATAAAAAAGGGTTTTTAAAATTTATATACATTCCCTACTGTTATATATTTTATATGTATCCCAAGACAATTCCTCTTTACTCAGCGTGGCCCAGGCAAATCAAAAGGTTGGACACCCATGATCTAACTTGTTCTTCATAGCAATCTAATTATAAAAGGATTGTCTCCTTGCCTTAAGCAAGTCCTCACAAGGACTCGCTCAACGTCTTAAGCAGATCCAAACACTGTACATTAGTTGTCTTAGCCACAGAAGTGGCTTGTTGTATCATCTTCCAGGAGGCTTTTTCAACTATATAGTCAAATCTTGCAGCTCTGGGATTTTCTAGTTGTCTCCATTTCTGAACCATTTCTGATCTTATCTAGGTTTGGAGATAAGACAAGATAAACTATTATTAGTCTCCAACAATTAAATATTCTTTGCATAAGCAAGAGTCATTCAATCAGTACAATTAAGTTGTGCTTTTTGTAAATCAACATAATTCTCTTCAGTAACAAAAAATAAATTAACATTTCTTACAACTCATATATTTCTTTTTTAACTCATTTTACCTGTTGGTTCTAAAAAAGAGACTGTTCTATTATAAGTTTGGAGGTGAGGGAGAAATAAACACTCTTGTAAAAGCCCTTCTGTCAGATTCAAATAACCAGAAGCATTTGTTGACTTCAAAAGCACAGAAGAGTTTATTACTGCCACCTCTAATACAGGAATCTAGTCAACTAATGGTGAAAGCTAAATTAACGCTAGATAAAGGTCAACGGAATTCATGGAAGGCTGGACTTAGGTCTCTTGTGGCAGTGCAATGACTCCAAACTGATGACATGTTTAACCTCTCCTTCCAGCTCAGCCTGCTCTCCTATACCTTCCTAGTGACTGAAAGTTTGTGAAGTCATGATCAAAATCTGCATTGCTCAAGTCCTTTTGAGTATGTAAAGAAAATGAAAGAAAATCAATTGGAAACAATGCATAGACTAAAAGCATTGAGCGGGAAATACCTGCTGGTGGCAGCAATAACATTGTTTTCATAGTCACAGATGGGGAGAGGTCATGGGGGCAGCATTGCAGCTTTCCTCTTCATTGTGCTCATCATCATGTTTCTACTACTCCTATTTAGCAGGCTCTGCACTGATTGTTCATTTTCTGCAAAGGACTAGTTCTGACTTTAAATATATGTATGTAATACTTCATACTGAAGTGTCAGTAGGACTTTTTAATGACAATCTATGTCACCCCTTCTAAGGAGACCTCCCTAGGAGATGTTGCTGGTGGCGTTCCATTTTCATGAAGTGAAGAAGGTTAAGCCAGTCAATGTTTTTCTGCTATGACTCCAACACTGTACTCTGGAACCGTGTTTATGTGGAAGCTCAATTGATCCTCTTGGGGAGAACCATCCAAAAGCAGTCAAAACTGAATACTTCTGAATGTCTTTTGCAAATTGATGGTTCACTATCTGCAATTTTGTCATCATATTGCTTATTATAAATGTATTTATTATTAATGCTCTGTATTAATTGTGCTTGGGTTAAAGGGTTTATTATTGTAAATATTTTATTTATATTATATGGTTTAACTGTTGCAAGTGACCTAGAATGTGGAAGAAATAAAGGGCTGATCGGATGGATGAATGGATGATAGATAGATAGATAGACAGACAGACAGACAGACAGAGTGGGAAACCTTTTGCATGAAAAATGGGATTGTTCTCATGTGCTGCAAAAGCAAGTAGTTGAGAAAATGAAAAGAAATATTCTTGTTTTTAGATATTAGAGGCTTTGTGTGCCCTTAACAATGGGCCAATGTCACTTCCTGAGGAGGACTAATGTGTTGTATAATTTGCAGTCATTAATATACCTTTCTAAAACAGATGATGTATGAACAATTCAATCTTCAAGCAGCAAACATTCCTGTACTGAGAAATTACTTATAAATAAATAAAGGTCCTATTTAGCTTCATGCTGTTCATTTCTAGTAAGCAAATTATTTATGTAGCAAAAAACAAGTTCGTATTCAACACAGCTAACATATTATACAAATTTTATAGACTAGACTTATTTCCTGGAACAATGATGGCTAAGCTTTTGGGTTTACCAAGTCAAAAATTCTGAACATGCCTAACTTGACTCTACAGGCATGTTACCTCTCCCCCTTGAACAAAAGAGAAACAATTATTTGCATATTCATTTAGTTTTTTAAAAAATACAGTCCAATCATATTTGATACCCAGGATCTGTTACATGCTGCTTACCTTCAGACAATGTTCTCTCTCAGTTGGCAGGTCCCTGTGGTGTACCTAAGGCAGCTCCAGGTCACACAGGATTTTCTTTCTTGAAGTATCTTCAGAAAATGCTCTTCCATAGCTGCTGCAGCCTCAGAAAACTACATAGAAAACATATTTACAGGTAAGCACTTCATATCTGTACCACATCCTATATGGGTACAATTGTGGAGAGATGAAAAAGAGTAGAGGATTCACTTATTCTACCTACTACCTACAGCACTGCGTGTACCAAGCAAGAGCAAGGCCCATGCAGTTATTTGGAATGGATGTAGCAACAGACAATGGAGATTAATTATTATGGTGGACTGTGACTAAATTTTTTATCTGAAAACAGACAGCTGCCACTCACATTTGGATCCGGGCTGCTATTAGTCTCAAAGGGGCAAAACATATATAGTACAGGTAGTCCTCGACTTACAACAGTTCATTTAGTGACCGTTCAAAGTTACAATGGCACTGAAAAAAGTGACATGACCATTTTTCAGTTATGACCTTTGTATTAAACATGATCATGTGATCAAAATTCGGATGCTCGGCAATTATTTCATATTTATGACAGTTGCGGTATCCCAGGGTCATGTGATCAACTTTTGCGACTTTCTGACCAGCAAAATCAATGGGGAAGCAAGATTCACAACTGTGTTACTAACTTAACAACTGTAATGATTCATTTAATAACAGTGGCAAAAAAGTCGTAAAATGGGGCAAAACTCACTTAACTGTTTCACTTAGCAATATAAATTTTGGGCTCAATTGTGGTCATAAATCGAAGACTACCTGTCTGCGTTTTCCTCAATCTCTGATCCTGGGAGTTAGATGGTTCTGCATCTTAACTTATAGTGTGTGTGTGTGTGTGTGTGTGTGTGTGTGTGTGTGTGTATCAAACCCAGATGACTGTGGCTTATTCATAAATATGAACTAGCATCATTTGGCCTGTGTGATCTATATTCCTAGTTTTGTCTAATTCCATCCTCAAATACAGCTTTTAAGAGTCTCCCAGTTCTTTTTACAGAGCTTCGATTCTCTCATCCACCATCCCATACATTAGTTGAACTCAGCCAGCTTATACTTCATAAAAACCTAAGGAACAATATCACTCGGCATTTTGTTATCTTGATGAACAACAATTCTCAGTACACCAGCCATGCGATGCAAAAAACGTAATCCATGGCCAGTCCACCTTCCACTTTTAGGCGCTGACCCCACTGGAGGAGGGCAGCCACTACCGTAGTCTTGCATTAGAATAATTTTGCAATGCTGGTGAATATCTATAGCTCCCCTAACCCCCGCTGAAGATGTTACCTAGCCTGGTAACGAAACGTCCAGAAACCAATCCACAAGCTCGGAGAAGGAACCTTCACTCTCTTTACAGTAATTCTTTGAGGCCGACAGGGAGCGCCCTTGGGCGGCCAAGAGACTACATTTCCCAGCAGGCCGAGGCGCCGAAGCGTCACCCTCGAAGTTTGAAGCGGAAGAAACTGAAAGCCCCGCGCGCGCGAGTGGAGCGCTGTGACGTGCCGGTTGCGTCTCCAACGGACGTTTGCAAAGGGCGAGAAGCTCGTTCGCGACGTTAAACGTCGGTTCGTTGAGCTGACGGTTGATTTTCCGTTTTCTTCTGGCGCCGAGTTGCGAAGGGTTCGGGCCAGCGATACGAGGCGGGGAGGACTTGGTTATCCCTGCAGGCGATACGAGGGACCGTCAGCATCACCGTCGTCCTCACGTGGCTTGATTGTGAGCGTTGTGGGCGCTGCCGCAGCTTCCTCGCCCTCCGGTTTGGAGTCCGTGTCGTTATCCAGACCCATTTTCCCATCACGCGTTATGTTCTTGTATTATTCTATTCCCATTTATTCTTGACAGATGCTTTCGGCGAAGTGAATGGAGGCCTTTCATAACCACTCGGAATTTTACTAATTCCATTAACCCTAGTGCATCCTTGTAGGTAAGGAAATGGTGTAGTAACCGCTTCTCTTGCCTGCGCCTTGGAACTTTTCATTTCTTTAGCACAGATTTTCCCGACTCACTGGCTTAGCTTTGCTCTTCTGCTTCTGTATGGTTATTTTGATGTCACCCTGCACTTAAATTAACACTTTATACTTTCTCACTTATCAGGTAAGCTAGTGGAAGCATGCCAATTTCAGGTTTATAGAACTTTCCCAACAAATTCCCTGACTTGATAAAAGGGTGAATTCTAAATTATACAACTCCCTTATGCTATTATTATCAATAAGTAAAGAAAAAAGGGTATTTGGTATCTTCCCTTTTGGGTTGGCATTTAGGATGTCCCCTGATTTCAGTGCTAGTTGTCTGTAGATACTCCAGGTCTTGTACAATGTATTATAATTGATTTAAAAAGGTTAAATATTTGCCAGGAAATACAATATTAATTGCATAAGAAACAAAACCATAGATTTATTTGTGCATTATTATGTGAATAGTAACCTTTAAGTAATTTTGTTTGTTTGTTTCAGACACAGCAATGGAATATCTTAAGGCTTCTAAGAAGACTGACAATTCCTTTCAACAGGAAGAAACTGAAGAAGATATTGAATTTGTTAGTGTACGTAGACAATTTGCATGTAAACATAATAGTGCTGGAGGATCACCTAGAGATCAGTAAGATGGAGCATTTTGTATTGTATAATGTTTATCCAGATCTGTCCTAGAACTCAAGCAGTCTTTTAATACCAGTGTTCTTCAGTAGTTGCAGTTTAGGATGTACTCTCTTTGTTTCTGGATTTCATATGTAGCCATCAAAGCCAACTGCCATGAACAGCCATTCCACTTATAGATTTCTCTTGTCTCCTTGAATCACCTTTCAAGAGCCCTGGTGGCGCAGTGGTTAGAATGCAATACTGCAGGCTTCTCTGCTGACTGCCGGCTGCCAGCAGTTTGGCAGTTTGAGTCTTACCTACTCAAGGTTGACTCAGCCTTCCATCCTTCTGAGGTCGGTAAAATGAGAACCCAGATTGTTGGGGGACAATAGGTTGACTCTGTAAACTGCTTAGAGAGGGCTGGAATGCACTGTGAAGTGGTATATAAGTCTAAGTGCTATTGCTATTGGTAGCAATCACTATACCATATGGTAGCAAATTCTTAATATAAAAGTTTTTTTTTCTTTTATTGAATCTAAATCTCCTTAAATTTAATTTTGGTAAAGGATCCTGAATATTAATACTGTGAAAGAGGAAGAAAAAAATTACCTGCCTCTACATGTTTAATGGCATACATGATTTTAGTACACCTCTGTTGTATCCTATCTTTAAAAGTTAAACAGTTTCTTTTTTAAAATATATTTTATTAATTTTTCCCAATAACATTCTTTAGTGCTTAGTAAACAATGTGTTGTCTGGGTTCATATATTTAAAAATAATAATTTCTATAATTGATCAATGTGTTAGTTGATCATATATTTCCTTGATCCTCTCTTCTTCCAGTAACGTTCTCCTTTTGTCTACATTAAACAAATATAATTCTTAATATTTTCAATACATACCAAGTTGGGTAAAAACATTTTTCTAGTATTTGTTGATGTTATTGTTATAACATCAACATATAACATCTTTTCTAATCAGCTTGTTTCAATTGTATTTATAGAAGTCTTATTAAGTCATTATATGTCCTGTTTTCAAAATTCTTATTTAAGCTTAATGTCCCCTCAGTATTAAAAGCACTCTTATCAGTCATAATTTTCTCAGAACTGAAGGGGAAACTAAGTTGGGAAAGTCTTCCAAGGAGATAGAAGAGGAGAGAGCATTGTGCTCAAGAAAGAAAGCATATCATCTTGGTATACGCTGGTCTATGCCTGTAATAAATGTTTTTAATACTTTCTTAGTATAATTACTGCCAAAGGAGCCTTTATGATTATGATTGGGTCGGAATGAGTGCAGTTTAAAAAAAAAACTTTCTTGGGTTATGAAATCTCTGATCATTTGGTTAGAAGGCATTTGACAGAAGGCCATTCCACAGTTCTTTATAATGAGTGATATAAAATTGACCCAAATAAAAATTATTCTAATGAACCTGAATAACTAATTTGCTGTACTTTTGCCTCTCATATTTTGAGAGCACTCATAAGTGGAAAAAAACCCCACTGCTAAATATGTTTGTTTTTTTAGGAAGGCGTATTGAGACCTGTCCTGGAATGCATCGATCTTAGTAATGAAGAGGAATTTGATACCTCTTCTGAAGTGAGTGCTTCCTCAGTTTTGCTGTAATTTTTAGTTTTCTCTGGAATTATTTTGCAGTATTTTTCTGCAAACTTCTTACAGTATGAGGGACCATGTCTGATGCATATGCACAGTAATTCTTGTTTATGTTTTGAAGGAAGAACTGTTTTATTTTAGAGGTACCTGCATTTTCATATTTTAAAAGCAAATTGCATGTTGTTTCTATTTAGAATGGGATCTTTGAATACTGCTTAAATTGTAGTTGTAGATTTTGATAAACTAAGAAGTAAACCCACACAAGAAGCCATGGGTTATTTTTGTGTTAGTGTTCCATACGGATCTATGTTCTTTCAAGTTATTTTTCTTCTTTGTTAAGTATACATTGCTCTTTTCTGGTTTCTCCCCTTGTTTTATGTCAAGAAATGCATTTCTTTTTCCAGCATTATTACGATACCCTGTCTGACGATACCCTGATTATAGATAATAATGGAAAGAACAACCATTTTGGAAAAAGCCAAATTGTCCAAATATTTGTTATTACTTGCTATTGTGTACTAAGTGGAAACAACTAACAACAAATTATTACCCAGCCTGTGGATAGAAAGGAGGCACTATAATATTCTTGTTGCCAAACAAGCACTTTCCAGACTGTAACCTTGAATCATCTTGTAGGGGATACGGGCACAGAAAAATTAACTAAATAAATAAATATTGTTAACCACTCTAAATCTAAGATTGAGTGGGCATCTCCATGATCTTTCAAAGAATTTTGTGCTGTGTCCAGAGCCATTTCCTCTATTCCTGGGACTATATATTTTGGTTTCTATTGTTTCTTTGCATCTTGCTTTGCTATTGAATTTTGGCGGTACAACTACAACTCCTGCCTGGTTTGGTATTAAATGCCTCTAAATCAAAAAGGAAAAGTCTGCATTAAAACATCCCAGTTTTACCATTAAGATCTACACTTAATAGACTTCACAAGAATTTCAGGGTTTTGTTTCTCAGTGCTGGAGCATCCAGTGAGAGAACCACTGATTCAGCCTTGTGCTGGTCAATCTTTTTATCAGTGACTTGAATGAGGGAATTGAGGAAACATTTATAAAAGTTGCAAATGACAAAACTAGGAGAGGTGGGTAATGATTGATTGATAATTATAGTTTTATTTTTTTACTTCTGGGACATATAAATAACCCTCTCTAGGTTAAAGATCTAGACAGAAATTGTATTTATTTATTTGTTACATTTATTTGCCCCCTATCTTGCCATGGGGCTAATCTAGGTGGCTTACAATAATAAAAAAGAAGAAAATGAAAGGAGTGTAAACAGAACAGAAGTAAAATAACAGAACCATAACATAACCATTGAAATGGGAACACAACAAGAATGCATCAATATAATAACCAAAAAGTTGATTGGATAGAGATCGGGGGGGGGGGGAGGAATCTTCATTCCAGCAGCCACCTCCATTATTTATGAATTGGTATTTATAAATTTAAATCCAGGATTTATACATTTATAAAAAATATTTAGTATTTGTCCAGTATATTCTAGCTTATTATACAGGTAGTCTTCAACTTATGACTACAATTGACTCCCAAATTTCGGTTGCTAAGTGAGACAGTTGTTAAGTGAGTTACCTCTTTTTATGACCTTTCTTGCCACAATTGTTAAGTGAGTCACTATAGTTGTTAAGTTAGTAACACAGTTATGAAGTGAATCTGGCTTCCCCATTGATTATGCTTGTCTGAAGGTTTCAAAAGTTGATCACATGACATCAGAACACTGCAATTATCATGAATTAGTTGCCAAGCATCTGAATTTTGATCATGTGACCATGGTGATGCTGCAACAGTTATAAGTGTGTAAAAAGGTCACGAGTTAACTTTTTTCAGTGCTTTTGTGACTTCAAATAGTCACTAAATGAATGATTGTAAGTCTAGGACTACCTGTACAGATTTTGCTAAATCAAGCTTAGTTTGGCTTTCCACAACTAGCAAATACTCGAGATGTTAGGGCTGCAGTTTTTTCTGCTTTTTCCCCCCTCCTCTGTCATCTCTCTCAACCAATTTGGAGAAAAATGTAGGAAGTAGGGAGAATCGGCTAAAATTATTTCTCTTTTGTAAGTGAGAACTGGAAATGTTTCATGTATGCAGGTCAATTAATAGGAACTTGGGTTCCATGCAGTTATGATATATAAGTATATTATCTGTCCTTGGTATCTAGAAGAATTATGCTTTGCATGCTAGGTCTGCCCAAATGATCCTGCAAGCCATTTGTTTTACCTTGAACTTAAAAGTGTTGTGAAATAAGATATATATTTCCTCTGTTCAGTCATTTCCAATTCTTGAAGACTGCCTGGACAAATTCTTGCAGTTTTCTTGGCATTGTTTTTCAGAAGTGGTTTGCCATTGCTTTCTTCCTAGGGTTGAGAGAAAATGATAGGCCCAAGGACACCAGCTGGTTTCATACCTAAGCCAGAACTAGTTTCATGGCCTCTAGTTTCTAGCCTGATGCCTTAACCGCTACACCAAATTCACTGTCATTGTTTATATACACTTTTCCAAGTCTTTTCTGGAGAATGGTGGTTCTCCTCCCTCCAATTTAGAGGGAGTATATAGAAAGAAGTTCCATTGCACGACCAGAAATCTGTTTAGAAGCTTTGTCACCCATGTCTTTAAAGATAAAACAGTTATACATCTTGCATTGTAGTTGTAGGAAGATTCTAGAATAGAAAATATTGGGGGTTCTTTGATTGGAGACGAGGCAAGATTATTATTTCTCTTCATAAATAGCAAAATAAAATTGATCAGATTTCATCACCACCATCACCATTTTTTAAGAAAAAATGCTATTGTTTACTGGCTGAACCTATTCCCTTAGGGCTGTTTGGCCGACAAGCATTTTTTTCTTTTTACTCATAGCAGAATAATTAGGGATGTGCTGCCAGGTTTTTTAGCCATAAGGTGGGAAGAAAAGTGTATCTGGTAATCTGAGGAAAAGAGTACCCTGTAAATCCTACTTCAATCAAGTTGGTTGAGAGAGAGAGATTTTTCCAGTTAACAAAGTATGAGCCCACCCTGACTCAGGTCTTCTGTGTGCTTAGTTTCTAGTATCTGTTTTGTGGGATTGAATTGTAATTTTTTCAGGTTTGCTTTGGGTCATTCACTGCTATGAATGTGAGCCCCACTAGCTAATTTCACACAAAGGCTAAAAATTCTTTTATTGAAATTAGCTATAATAATGGTCTTACAAGTCTGATTGTGCTTTACCTCCTCCTCTTGGTCCTCGTAATTTAGTGAAGTAGAAGTTTTGTCTGAGACTGTTCCAAATGTTATCTAAACATTTTGGATATTTTTTAAAAAATGTTTTTGTGCCCTTTCTTAGGCAACTGTTTTGGTGCATCTTCCTTGCCTTCTACATGACATTTTTCCTCAGCTCTCCTCTCTACCTTGTCTTGTTATTTTCTAAGGTTATGGCATTGTATGATTTTTTTTAACTTCGATAAGCTGCAGAGTTTAATAGGGTTCCCACGAGCCATTTCCATCATAGTACAGAATATATGGCTGTATATCCATAAATGTTTTCTGATTTTTTTTATGTTTAATCTTTGACTTAAACTTGAACTACTTACAGTATGTATGTCAGAGTTCAAATTGATTCATTGAATGAAAAACTAGGACACTCCTGTGTTGTGCTTTTGTTTTCCTGGAAAGTTGAGACAGTGGTGGTTGAATTTTCTGGCAGTTTGTACTAGCTATTTCAAAGAGGTTTCTTCTTCTGTAGAAAAATGTAAAACACAAAGACCATGTTGATTATCAGAAAGCAAAAGTTGCTTCGACCCTTGATCGCCTGGCACGCCATGTAGAAGTAGAGAAACAGCTGAAGGAAGAGAAAAACAAAGCTTTCAAGGTATGGTTCTTCCCCAGGATTAGTTATGGCACAAGTATTACAAGGTTATTTCTGTGTAATTGGGAACACAATTTAAACATTTCTTTACTTTATTCATTTTTAAACCTGAGCAGCGCAGTCGCCTAGAGTTGGAGTTGTCACCTCACAATCAGGAGGCTAGGAGTTTGATCCCAGGTAGTGGCAGATATTTCTCTCTCTAGATGCAATGAGTAATTGTCTGCTGCAAACTCCATGTAGGTGTCAGGAAGAGCATCTATCCGGTAAACACTTGAGCTCTATTCAGGTGCCCCAACTCCACCCCAATGCAAGGGATTAAAGAGTCATTAAAAGAAAAAAAAAATCATTCTTGAACCCCATTTCATGTGCTGTAAGTATCCAGTCAAAATCTCCCCGATCAGCAGCAATTGTTTAGTATGTTTCTGGGTTTTCCACTAATTTTAGTATATCATTTGCCACCTTCTAACTTCTTTATGGCCATTCTAGAAGAGACTCAGTAGTCTCTATACATATACCTCCTATACCTACCACTAATGAAAAATACTGTGATGTGCTACTTCTCTTAGTTTCTACTTTTAATTCATTTACACAACAATATTCTATCTTAATATCTCCTTCCCTTTTGAATACAGAGAACATAGCAAATTTAAAATGACGGTGAAATATAGTACATTTTAAATGATCTTAACTAGAAACTTGAAGCTAAGCTAAACGACTGCTGGTAGCGCTACCCTTCACTAGCAGCAATGTTGAGTGTTTCCCTAAGGATTATTACATTTATTTTTCCAACATAGATTTATAATTGTTTTGTATTTCTTTAGTTGTTTTTTCATTTAACCTGTTCAGTTTTCAGCTAATTTATTTTTCCAACCATTGGGAATTTTAGGAAAAACTGGATTCACAACATGCTCATGGACTGCAAGAACTGGAATTTATCCGGGGTCATAGTGACACAGAAGCAGCAAGATTGTGTGTGAATCAGTGGCTAAAAATGCCAGGTAATTGGCTACTTTGCCATTTGGAGAAAGGCAGAATAGAATCCCTGTTCTTCCAAAGAAATAGTTCTCCTTAACCATAGGTTGCTTCAGGAGTGTGAAATGGAGGAAGCAGAACAAAAAAAATAGCTTTTATTAGAAAGCACAAATGTTCCATTCTCATCATTTGCTTTAGGAAAATACCACAGTTAAATGGTGTGAATTATTTGCATATATAGTGTTTTTGCGGCATATGCTGAGTGCTCAAAATATTTCATGTGAAGAGCTGTACTCAGATCTATTGTGATTTTGGAAGTCATCACAACTATCAACTGTAACAAACCATTTAGCAATATACAATTTGCCTTTTACTTTTTTACCTTTTTAGCTTTAATATATATGCAGGTTCCATAAGCCTAAATTAGCATGTATGAAATAACTCTGGAATCTTTATATAGGATAGACTGAAAAGAAATAGTATAAGATTTCAGTTTCAAACTTTTGTAACAGCTGTAACATATAGGCATGAGATAAATTATACATATAGGCATGAGATAAATTATAACTGTAATCAAAGTTTCTCACATTGTCTTGTTCTTATACTCTACTGTGCTACTTTGAAGTATAATTGTGTAAATCTGCATATTTCTGTTTTATGCCTTAGGTCTCAAGCCAGGCACTGTAAACTCAGGAAGGAGAACATTATCTCAAAAATCATATCAGATCCCATCGAACAGCAAATCCATTCTATGTCCCATAATGCACTGCAATAGAAAGTTTGACAATGGGCATTTACTGCTAGGTCATCTTAAAAGGTAATATTTTTTATCATACAAATAACCTTATAACAGCAGGGATTAACAAGTTTAGCTTTGCTCAGTCCCCCCCCCCCACTTTTAAGTTTTATATTTTCCAATTTCTATAATAGCAATGAGAAAAGTTTGCATGATTTTTTTTATGCTTTCTTGTATATTTCTTCTAATATAACATTTTGTTCTGGAGAATATTTTTGCCAGCAATTTTCCCTAATAAAATACATTTTAATATTCTAAATGCATCTTTTTGTGTCCTTTTCACTGGATTTGGATTTTCATGCATTTTGGAGGGAGGAACTGTACCATAAATTGTCTGTCTAACCATCTTCATAGATTTCATATGTTGATTAAAAATTCTGAATTAGATACATGTACTTTAAAAGACAACAGTTCTCTTGCATATTTTTATAATTAGGTTGCCACAACAAACCACTAGGCATAATTTTACAATATTTTTTTTCCAGGTGCAAGTGATCAGAATAAAGCTTCATATAGGTTGATGCTAGGATTTTTTTTTACTTTCGCAAGTATAGTCTGAATTAATGTATGTACCTTATTTAACTGGCTAATGTTAAATTAAGCTAGAAGGTCATAATGATTGTTTTTTGTAAAAGAAAAAAGAAAATAAAACATTCTGCCTAATACATTGTATCTAATTATGTCTATTATTTTCTTAGGTTTGATCATTCTCCATGTGATCCCACAATTACTCTACATGGACCTCCAGCTAATATGTTTGCCTGCATAGTCTGTGGCAACAGATTTGCAAGTAATCAGCAATATAGTGGACACCTTTTGTCTAAGGCAAGAACTTAAGGATATATTGATAAAAGTAGCAAGTTCTTTTCTCCTTAGACGGGGGGGGGGGGTCAAACTTGCAACGTCATGTGATGTGTTGTGACATATCGTGACTTTTTTTCCATTGTCAGCAATGGGGTGGGCGCAGTTTCACTATGACGCATCCAGCCTGCGGGCCGGCAGTTTGACACCCCTGCCTTAGACGAATCAGTTACATAAAGCTATATGTAGTTTCCCTGACCGAAATTTATTTTCATGGAGGGAAATCATGATTGAAATAATCTGTGAACTTGCAAATTCCATTCCTTTGCTAATTTAACTCCCCTGTAGCTGGGAGTTAGTTTTCTGTCTTCATCCAGAAAGCAGGTTTCTCCTATGTTTCAAAGAAGTGCTTTCTGGAAAAAAACTAGCATCTAGATTTAGGTATGAAAGAAACCTTCCTTGGTTTTTATTCACCATTCTTAACTATTTTTTTAATTAGAGTTTGTTCTGAATATTATAAATGAAGGGATTCACTAATTTGGGAGTTCCACTGTTAATTCCCTCTGCCTGTTAGCTTTCAGCAGAAAAAAGATCAAGAAAGCTAATTAAAAGTGTTATTCTGCAGAGAGAGGGGGAAATGGGGGCACTTGGTCTCCACCAATAATTGGCCTCTTTGCTCTCCTGAAAAGGGATGTCATGAAAATGAAGAGCAAAAGATGGAGATGGAGAAAGTGGAAGTCTTACATTAATGGGGCCTGTCCCAAGCTCTCTTACCAGCATTCTTTAGATTATTCCTAGTAGATCTGAATGAAACAAGACTTTTTTTATGTGTCCCTTAAGGTTGGCAACCTTTAAAGGAGAACCTTTGATAAAAAATAAATGAAGTATTTTTGACTTGTAAGGCTCAAAAATAAATGAAGTATTTTTGACTTGTAAGGCTCAGTTTCAGACTTATCGCAACAGACTTTTTAAATTTGAAGTATTGTTGAAACAACACAAACATCAAATTAAATTATGGTGATCTTTTTAACATAAACCTTGGGCTAGTCAACAGTCACAGGACTGTTGTTGTGAGGAAAATAGGTGCAGGAAGGTGCATTGGATATGTTTGCCGCCTTGCGTTATTTGTAAAAATAAAGGTGGCATACAAATAAATAAATCAGTTTTACTGAAAAATGGCTCTCTCTGAAATCTGTTTTTCTTTTTCTTCAAAACTTTGTCCTGCTTGTGTTCTTCTTCCCTCCATTCAGGTTGGTAAAAATGATGGCCATGAGAGAAATTACCCTCCTCAGCTTATTCAGTGCTTTGCGTGTCCTTGCTGTTTCCTCTTCTTTAGTATAAGAGATGAATGCCTGCAGCATATGTCTGGAAAAAATCATTTTTCTCAGGCCTTTAAATTGAGTGGTATGTTTAATAGATACATATTTTTATCTCTGGTGTGTGGGGTAATGCATAGATTGTTGGGTTATATTTTAATCTATGGTTATAACACTGCAGTACGTTCAAACATGATTTTCCGTGTGTCTTAAGAAAATGCTCCAGTCTGGAAATGTGACTGAAATGAACTCTTTTGTCTGTAATGTTCCTTTTTTTTTTTTTTGTTCAAAATGGGCTGAAATTACTAATTAAAATGCTCCCTGAAAAGATATTAAGGTTTTAGCTAAAGGTGTGAAATAAATAAAATAAAATAAAATAAGATAGGAAAAGCCATCAGGATAATTTTTTTCTTGAAGCAGACAGGTATTTGGCTTGGATTATAGCTTCTTTCAAGAAAAAAAGACTTTCATTGTCATAGGACTGCAGTGCCTCGCAAATAAGGAAGTTTGCATTCTGTAGATACCTTTCAGCAACGAGCAACATCTGGTTGGTAGAGAATTTTTTTTTTTAATGTGAACCTATGCATATGGTACAATATTAAGTAGATGTTATTTGGTTATAAAATCTTGTCTACACGTTGTGCATCAGACTGCTGATGATTTAGTGCATTTCAAAGGAAGACGGTGGTAAGGAAAGGTGGATAAATTCTATTTTGGGGCAGGAGTGAGGAGGAGTCTAAGGAGTCTAAGTAACCCTGCCTTGTTGATTCATTGCAGATAAATCAGGGAGCCCACTTCCATTGCCTTTGCCAGCCTACGCAAAGAATCTCCTAATCTCCTTATGCAAAGAAGTTCCCTTCCAAGTGCAATGCTCATCCTGTCATCAGGTTTTGCAATCCCACATAGAGCTCACAGCACACTTCAGGTTTGTGAAAAACTTCCCATTTGTAAAATGCAATCACAGGCCAATTTTTCTCCCTTCAAATACCTGTTGGATGTCACTTAATTATGTTCTGCTGTTGTAATTGGCTTACTCCTTGTATTTTAAAATGGTGTTTATTAAATGCTGAAAAGTAGAAAATTCTATGCATGTAATAAAAGTGATGAATTCTGTCTTTACTGCCTTTCCCAAACGTTCTTCCCTTTGGTGAAGACAAAATTCAGTGCTGTTTATTTCATGCATGGATTTCCACCATATATTCATGACTTCCTATATTTAAAAGTTTTTTTAAAAAATACAGTGATAGGGGCAATGTTAGTGCTTGTGACAACACTTCTAGTGATTTATTTGTTAAGCTGGCGTTTGCTCAACAAATGGCATGTATTTGAATATTTTGAAATGTTGACAATATGGGATTTTTTTAGATGATCTTGAACAAATTTTAGATAGATGGCTACAAATATGTTTGTCTCTTTCTGTTTTAGAATCCAGTGTCGTAATGCTGGTCCTGTAGCTATATCAAAAAACTGCATCTCCGAAATTGCAGAAATACTGAAAGCCAAAAGTTTCTGTCAAGGTTGTGACACGTTGTTTGTCAACGATGACCAAATTACTCAACATAGTTGCAGAAATGTTGCTAAGATTAAACTTATCGCCACAATGGAAGAATCCATATTATTAATCTGTCACATCAATGAACGGAATAAAAGTGTCCCTCACCTGCAAAATAATGCAAGCCTTTTGAAATCTTCTCTGAAGAGAAATTTGGAATTGAATGGCGATAAGAATGAAACTCTTTCAAAATGGAAAAAGGATTTGCGAGACAATAGTGAAGCAGTTCACACAACTTCTCTTGTCAAAACCTGGGTATGCCAGTGTGATTTGGCATTTCTTTCTGAAGAGTTGGCAGAAAAACACATTTTTGCTGAAAACAGAATCTGCTACAAGTGCGGTGTATGTGGGAAACTTGCAGAAAATTTGAGCATTATCCGCTTGCACATGAGCCGTTTCCATGGAGGAGCACATTTGACTAACTTCATCTTCTCATGCCAAATTTGCAAAATAGCCCTTCAGAAAGAAGAGGATGTCCTTATTCATGTAACAGGACTTCATGATGGACATAATTTCTATTTCGAGAAGGCCATTGCTGAAGATGAACTAACAATACCTTCTGATTCACAGTATGACCCTTCGATTAAACAAGAAGGCCAAACTTCAAGCCTTATCGAACTTTCTCCAGAGCAGACTCAGATGGAGGTGGATGAAAGCCCTTCCCAATGGCAATGTAAGATATGTGAGGAAATATTTAACTCAGAGGACAGTGTGAAACAACATTGCAAATCACTAGAGAGTCATCATTTTCACAGGTACAGCTGTGGCTCGTGCAAAATGACTTTTCGGAAAATAGAAACACTGCAGCGACACTGCCAGGGTAGACATAACAATGTTGTACAGATTAAATATTTCTGTGGATTTTGTGGTGACCTCTTCTTTGATGTTGAGGAGGAATTTTTACTTCACTTCAGGTGCATACATAGCATGGATTACGTGTGTGTGTCCGAGACAGCAGAAACCTCAATCAAAAATGATGAAATAGCGGAAGAAGGTACCCTTCTAAACTGTGGTTGTCGTGAGAAATATGTTTGCAAAAAAAACAGGAAGATTGACCACAAGAAATGTCAAGAAGCCATGTTGGAAAAAGGCAACATTTGGTTTCGTTGCACTTCATGCTCTTCTACAGCACAAACCTATTCTGACATAATGGTTCATATCACAAGCCACCCAAGCAAAGAAACTACTCAAGATTTCTACATAGTCAGGTGTGGTTCATGTAACAAACATTTTAGTAATATTACCATTGCTCATCAGCACTTCCATGATAAGCACTGCTTTTTACAAAAGCCACAACTATCTTTTGGGTCACAAGCAGAAAATAATGTCTTCCATTTCTCTGCTGTGAAGTCCTGTTCAGAGAAGGATGTAGCGTCAACACATTCTTCAGATGTAAAAAAGCTGAAACTGGAAGATGCAAAGAAAGCTAGGAGGTTTTCTGAAATGATTGAACAAGGTAGGTGGAATTCAAATTTTGTACAGCTAATGAGGCTGATGAAGGGCCAGTGCAAAGCATTTGATAAAACTAATAAGCCACATTACTAAATAACGCAAACTTTGTTTATGTAGTAATCAATAGACAGAAACTTTATTTCGGTTATTGACTCAATAATAGAGATGTAATCTTGGGCAAGTACCAGTAATAATTTAAAAATTTTGCTATTTTACTAAAAAAATAGAAATTAAAAGATGTTAGGGCTTGACACTGGAAATGTGGATTATTTTGAGGAAAGAAATAAACAGCAATAATGAGCAGATTCTGTGTCTGAGAATTGGCAGTCACATCAGCTATAGAACCTCTTTTGGATCTCTTGTAAACTATATTCGCCTTGCTTCAGGGTATTGTGGAGCCTCATGGTGAAGATAGTTTTGTGCTTACCGTGTTTCCTCCAAAATAAGACCCGGTCTTATGGGGGTTTTTTGCCTCCAAAAGAGGCATTAGGTCTTATTTTGGGGGGATGTCTTATTTTTTTCCTGACACTTGCCTCACCTTAAGGCAACAGCACCAAAAGCCCCATCCAGCAGGAGCCTACATGGCCACTGGCCCATTTCTGTGGCTGCTCGCAGCAGGCGGCTATATGGCGCATCATGCTGGTGCTGCCGCCGCAAGGTGGAAGGGAGAAGCTGCCCCACGTGTCCTGTACCCGCTTATGTCAGGGCTCCTGCAGCCAGGCCTCCCATGCCCCGACACTGCCTCGCCTCTTAGAAATCCAGGGCTAAACAGTACAGAGGCACGGGCAGATGGGGCAAAGCTGGTTCAACAGATTTTTTTTAAGAAAAAAAAAAGGCGGGCAGTGATTCCGTGCAAGAACTCACAAAGCCTCAGCCTGGGTTCTTTGTATACAAACCACACCCACAGGCAGCCTCCTGAAGCGGCCCCTGCTTCTTCCCATTTACAGCCAGCGGCCGGCTAGGTTTTCTTCCGTCCTTCCTTCACCCGGGCCAGCAAGAGCTAGAGAGAGCAGCATCTTGGGCTGCGGCCATTCCGTGGCAGCTGAGCCCGTTCGCCATTCGTCCAGCCTGCTTGTCGCCAGTTATGTTCAACTATGACGAGGCCATTGCCTTCCTGGGCGAGTGGGGCCTCTTCCAGTGGCTCATCTTCTTTCTGCTCAGCGCCAGCATCATCCCCAACGGCTCCACAGGGCTATCCACTGTCTTCTGGGCCGCCACTCCTGAGCACTGGCGCCGGGTGCCTTCTAACGCCAACCTGAGTGCTGCATGGCTCAACGCTAGCATCCCCCTGGAGAAGCGCGGCAGGTGGCAGGTGCGGAGCCAGTGCAGCCGCTACCGCCTCGAGGCCTTGTCTGCCGGGAACATGGAGCCCGGCCGCGATGTCAGTCTCAGCCATTGTCACCGAGGTAGGCAGGTGTATGCTAACTTGGGTGGGGGAGGGGGAGAAGAAGTGGGCTGGCAGTGTGATGGCCTCCCAAGAGATCAAGATCAACTGGGCATGGGAGATGTTCGCTTAGGAGCTAACATAGGCGCCCAAACACTTTTCGTCCAGCTGGAGAAATGACGGAGACTGGAAGGTTCGTCGGCTTGCAAATGGAGCGCTTTGAAATGGAGTGATTCGCTTCATTCCCAAGCGCTTCATTTGCAAGTCGACGAAGCTTCCAGTCTCCCTCTGGGTGAAAAGTATGCGGCATAGCCAGGCATATCTACAGGGGGGGGGAGCAGGCGATCCAGACGGGCTGCGCAGCTGCCTGGCTCACAGGAGGCTTGTGCGGCAGCACTGGCAGCAAGCGGAGGCAGAGGCACGGGGAGGCAGGCAATCCTGATGCGTTGCCCACTCTGTCCCATCATCTCTCAGCTTGCACTGGGGCAGGTGGCCGTGTGGCACATCGGTATCGCCTACCTCCCCCTGTGCCTCTGCTTGCGCCTGCTGCCAGTGCCGCTGTGTGAGCCTCCCATGAGCCAGGCGGCCGCGCAGCACTGCTGGATCGCCTGCTTCTGCCTCTGCGCTAGGACTTACCTGCACTGCGCCAAGGGGCTGGCTGGCTGAGGCTACTGATGGACACCATTAGCCCTGCGCACTCACCGCCTCTTGTGCTGGCCATGCCCACCTCTCCAGGCTTATTTTTGGGGTAGGGTTTATATTAGGCCCATCCCAAAAAAATCAGGCTAGGGCTTATTTTTGGGGTGGGTCTTATTTTCGGGAAAACACGGTAGGGGAAAGCTTTTTGTTGTTTTTCCTTATGCCCATCTTGACTACTCATAGGCAACATTACCTTCTTAGCAGAAATTAACCTTTTAAATGCTGATAAGTGTTCTTGTAAATCTTTCTGGTGCTACTCCCAGTTGGGAATGATTGTGTAAATCAGAACCATTTTCAGTACCTGTTAAAGATTTAGCTCTTCTATGTTTTCTGATTTTCAAAGTAATCATTTGAAGCCCAAAAGGCATCATTTGATAATGTGGGATGTACTGTATATTAAAAAAGGAACTTTCTTATGTGAATATACTATGTTTTTATGGCTTAAATTTATATTGACAATTAAATTTTAAAAGTCATATGAAACATATATTTCTACAATTGAAAAAATGCATAAACATTTTGGCTATACTTTTCTCCCTCTTTCTTACATATAGATGAAGGCAATCTTCCTGACCTTGATTACTTATGTACCATGTCTCACATTGTAATGATGGATTTGGATAATTGGGGAAGCCTTTTTGATCAACTGCCTGCAACCCTCAACCAAGGAACTTTTATTTGGGGCTTTCAGGGTAAGGAAAGAAGTTAACAGTTCAAACACAACAGTAGAAGTCTCACAATATAAACAGGCAGCTTGGTAAGAATCGCCTACCAGGTGGGCAGTTGGGAAGTCACTGTTGACTCCCAGCAACTGCCGGGACAAGTCGCTGCAGTTTTCTTGGCAAGATTTTGAAAGTGTTGGTTGCATTGGCCTCCTTCACTGGGCTGAGAGTTAGTGACTGGATGAGGGCCACCCAGCTGGTTTTGTGCCAAAGATCTCACTGTCCTCCAATTTCTAGTCTCAATAAAGGAGAATATTGTAGCTCAGGGTTGAAATGAAGGGTCTTTTGTGCTCTCTGAGCTTGGTTGTTTTCTTGCAGGTGTTTTGTTATCCAGACTAGGTAACATCATCAGTGTTAGTCCTAGCTCTGATGTTAACTAGTTTGGGCAATGAAATGTCTGCAAAAACAAGCAAACTCAGAAAGCACCAAGGACCACTCATTTCTAATCTGGAGCCTTAACACTAGGCCAAACTGTCTCTCTTTATCCATCTGGTTTCATTACAAAATTTGTTTTTCCATTAACTGGCCACTAGCTGATTGTGGTCAAGAATTATACCATCTGTACATAATCCTTCAGTAAGAGTGTTAGAATTGGAAATATATAATCCAGTGTATATCAAATGTGTACAGCATAGATGAACAGTTTGAAAAATACAGGTTACAGTTTTTTAGTGTTGTCACCTCTAAAACTTTTTGTAAAACTTCTTTTACATGGCAGTCTAGACTCTAGATAGTTTTAATGATTACGCCATTCCTCTTTCATTGCTTAGGTGGATGTGGCCATTGGAAACCCCCTGTGAATTGCAAGATCTTTAATTATCTTAACAAGATTGGGTGTTTCTTTCTTCATCCACGCTGTGGTAAAAGGAGAGAGGCTGCTGATTTTGCAATCTGTGTACATGTAAGTTTTCAGGTTTTGTACTGATCAAATAACTAAAGCTCCATAATGAGGCTGTAGAACTACAAATGACCATAAGGAGGAGAGTTAGAATTTTCGGTATCATTTTCCCCTATCTGTCTATGTAGTTGCTAAGAGTCGAAAACAATTTGATGGCACATAATCCATCAAAAATAATTTTCCCTCTAGTGGTCACTGACATTCTTGCAAGGTAATTAAGGAAACCCTAATTTAGGGCTAGTTAATTTAATTTTAACATATTGTTATGGTAAAAACACACTTCATTTTTTCTTACCTGGTATACAGTCAGTGATTGGAGTATAACTTTAGCCAATCATGGCTTAATTTCTGATAATTTCTCTTCAAAGTTATTTTAAATTGGTATATCCAAATAAGATAAATAAAACGTAAAGATTTTGTGGATGCTGTTCTATTAAATTACTAAGAGAAATTAAACTTCTAAAATAGTATTGAGTTTTTCAGACCACTATATGTATAATTGGTATAATCATTCCATCCTTTTAATTCCTTTTTTTTGCAGTTATGAAAGTGCTTATTATTTCTACTATCCTTTAATATTCATCATTTGTATTAGTATTAATTAGTTCAAATTACTTCCTAACTTTCTTTTTATGACATAAAAGTAACTGCTTTTCATGTAGATACTTACACAGATTGCTTTAAAATTATATTGACATATAAGTGTCACTTTAATATTGGGTGACATCAAATAAATAAATACCTTTTAAAAACCTTAAAATTCAGGAATTTATCATACTTGCAATTACATTTCAGAGCATGAATATGTATTTCAAGCTAGTTGATTAACTATATTCTTTTATGTAGTACATAGCGATCCATAACATTATGCATTAGTTTTTGCTTATCCATTATTTTTATTTTCACAAAGGACATGTAGGAAAGTTAGGAAATATTGGTGTGTATTTCCTGAGGCCATAAGAGATTCACCTTAAGGTTTCAGTTTTCTTTTTAATTGATTTCTTTTTCTCATGAACTGGCTAATGCTATGTAGAGAACCATAATTTAAGGCAAGTGAGAGATTGCAAGGAAAGAATTATAGACGCAACAATTTCTGGGGGAGGAGTTGCCTTTTGGGGATATGTAGGCTGGGATATGGCTTAGTCTATTCCTCTCTGTACATCACCTCTCAGTAATTAAAGATTGAAAAACATTTTGTTCTGCTTGGAAGTCACTTCCTAATTACAGTGTACAATATATCTTGCTAAGAGATCTTAAGCTGTGTATGCTTCTAGTTTCAGATAACATTTTTTCACAGGTGGGCCGCCTGGATGAACATCTGCCAAAACATATTCCTTTCACCATTCTTTCTGGAGACAAAGGCTTTCTAGAATTGGAGGATCAACTTAAGATGACTCAGCGGGTAACTCGCATTCTAGATCCTCATAAGATTGATGCTGACATGATGTATACCTTATTAAACAGCATTTCAGATGCAGTCAAAGGTTTGTTTTCATTCAGTGCGTTGTCTATTAATAGAAACAAATGGAATAAAATAATACTGAGTCATTTTACAGGCATGCTATTGAAGGTAGCATGGTCATTCCTGATACAGTTTCATTAACTTACCGTGCTTCCCTTACTGTGGGTCAAGATTAAAGCATCATTCACCAAGGCAGGAGGAAAGAGGGATTCCTTGAGGCCAGAATGAAATTATTTCTATCAGTTGTCACTGGGCTAGGTTGGTCTTTCCTTATTAGTATTTTTTTCTTGGGCCTTGGCCAAAGGATGACATTGATTTCTGCTTCCCAGGTCCCAGGCAGTTTGCTTGCTTGTTTGTTTGTTTATTAGATTTTAACCCTCTATTATTTTTATAAATAACTCAAGGCAGTGAATATACTTAATACTTCTCCCCCATCTTTTTTCCCATAACAACCCTGTTAAGTCCCAAAGGTGCTTTTTCCAAAAGGAACCGGACTTTCTTGTTTTTTTCTTTGAAAATGTTTTACCAAAGTTTCTTCAGTTCTTGGATGAGAAGTGAAACTCCCCCCCCCCCCGCCGCCAAAAAAAAACCCAACCTAAGGAAGTCCAGTTGCCTTTTGGAAAAAGCAACTTTGGGATAACTATGACCTGGATGATTGAGAATCTCCATAGACATAAACTCTGTGAAGTGGGTTGGGCTTAGAAAGAGTGACTGTTTGTCAGGAATTCCACAGGAGAAGGGCAGATAACTCCCTATAGCTATTCTTTTTCTGATATTCTCCCTATGCCGTGTCTTGCTGCTGGAAAGCAGGGAGTAGGGTCTGGGAGAGGCGTTTGAACTCTACTCCTGTACATCATTTCATCATTAATAGCATCATCATGCTATTAAATTTATCTCGCACTTTTCACTAGAGAAAATTCTGCTCAGAACAAATAACTAGAAACGAATAAACTTTTGTAAAATTGAAACAGCAATATAATAAAATCTATTATTATTTTAAGTATCGGGAATGGGCTTAACAAACGAGGCTGTGCACAAGGTGTTTTTAGAAAGAGCAAACAGATTGTAACATGTAAGAAAGTTCCTAATAGGATAGGTACCCTCACCTCCACCATTTGTGGCATTCCAGATGCAATATAATCAAGAGATGATTTATTGTTGTCATGCTGGACAGTCTTAAGAAGCACAGATGTTACACTGTATGTATTAGGTAGACTTGCTCCTTTCACTGCCCTCACAGGGAAGTTTTAGAATTTAATAATTGCGAACTTGCTCTTTCAGAAAGACCGCAGCCTGCCTGTGAAGAGATTGAATTAGTTTCCATGTCTGTTTTTCTATTGCAAAAAAATAAAGCCAGACAATTATTGCCAATCAACAGAAATCTGACAAAGAAAGCCAGTTATTAGAATTGAAATGTGGCAGGATTAAAATATTTTTGTCTGATTACAGAAAATGAAGAGATTGATATTCAAATGGCAATGGCACAGATTTTGCAAGTAACGAGAGCCCAAAATGGTATGTTTTAATTTCCACAGTACATTAGACAACATATATATGTAATTAACAAATAAATACAAAATAAAAATAAATAGTATAGGCGTAATAGTATTAGATTGGTTTTCTTTTTTACTGAAAGTGCATTTTGGCAAAAAGGAAAAAGTATCATTGACTTCTTGTATTTTTGAGGTCTTGGAGGACTGATTAATAATGCTAGAGATATTTGCATATCAACATGAATTCTTCTGGTGGTAGAATCATAATTTCATGCCAATAATGATCATTATATCTAGTTGTGTGACCTCAGTTTGCTTTGTTGTAGCAGTTCTGTTTTACAGCTGCGGATATCATTAATTGGATATGTGCATTCAACAGGCAGGGTTTATATTTGATACAGCTTTAGAAGCTTCAGTAATTATTATATAAAAATTATACAGGTAGTCCTTGACTTAACAGTTCATTTAGTGATCGTTCAAAGTTATGTCACTGGAAAAAATGACATGGCCATTTTTCACACTTATGACCATTGCGGCATCTTCATGGTTATATGACCAAAATTTGGATGCTTGGCAACTGGTTCATATTTATGATGGTTGCAGTGTCCCTAGATCACGTGAACATCTTTTGCGATCTTCTGATAAGCAAAGTCAATGGGGAAGCCAGATTCACTTAACCAACTGGGTTATTAACTTAACAATGATTCACTTAAAAACTGTGGTGAGGAAAGTCGTAAAATGGGGCAAAACTCACTTAACAAATGTCTCAGTTAGCAACATAAATTTGGGGCTCAAGTATGATTGTAGAATCGAGGACTACCTCTGTATGTGAACCAGCATGAATATACTTTAGTTCACAGCATGAACTAAAATGTGGCCTGTCCTAGGTTTACTTTAGTTTGTTTCTGAGAAGCTGGGGATATTTTGAACATCCAAAGACAAAATGCAGGGGGACTTTCGAAGCAAGCAGAGTAAGGCAAGTGCCTTGCCCTTATCTCCAGCTTTTTCTGCTAGATGTTCTCTAACCCAAGAATTTCAGTGGCTTCCTTTCCCAGCCTGTTCTTATGCTGCACTAGACATCAAGGATATTGATGGGTAACAGAGAAGGAATAATAGAAGTCCCTGGGAAGATTGGGGCCAGGAGTGGTGGTATGGGATGTCTTGTCCTGGAAGTAAGAACACTACTGGCAGTAGTAATGGTTATCCAACTAGACCACAGGTCGGCAACCTGCGGCTCCGGAGCCGCATGCGGCTCTTTGGACCTTCCCCTGTGGCTCCCAGCCTCCTCTGCCTTTGCAGAGAGAGACAGAGATAGAGAGAGGCAATTGCGCTTCCCTGCTTCTCTCGCTCTCTCTCTCTCTCTCTGTGTTTGTGTTTTTTTGTCTGTGTGTGTGTGTGTCTGTGTGTATGTGTAAAAGAGAGTGCACTCACAGTGTTCTCCGAGGAGCTGAAAAGCTTACTGGGCGAAGCTCCTCCCTTTGCTGCGTCTCAGCAGGAAGCAGGAAGGGCAGGAGAGAGCTAGCTAGCCCAGCTAGGCTGACTCAGGAATTCTGGGAGTTGAAGTCCATGAGTCATAAAAGAGACGAGGTTGCTTACCCCAGCTTGTTGGACAACAGCTTGAAGCTTGCCAGGTGAACAGCAGATAGGAGGGGGGGGGAGAAAGAGAGGGAGGGAGGGGGAGAGAGAGAGAGAGAGAGAGAGAGAGAGAGAGAGAGAGAGAGAGAGAGAGAGAGAGAGAGAGAGAGAGGAAAGAGAGAGAAAGAAAAAGCGGGGGAAGAGGAGTGGCAGACCAAGGGCAGATAGAGAGGGAGGGAGAGGGAGACAGAGAGAGAGAGAGAGAGAGAGAGAGACCCTTTTGACATCTAAAATGAAGATAACACTGCATATATCCTTTTTTAACCTGTGTGTGTGTGTGTGTGTGTGTGTATACACACACACACATACATATACATATATATATATACACACATACACACACACAAACACACACACACCTATAATAAAGGTAAAAAAGGATATATGCAGTGTTATCTTCATTTCAGATATCAAAAGGGTTTTGCGGCTCCCAGTGTTTTGTTTTTGGTGGGGTCCAAGTGGCTCTTTAAGTGTTTTGGGTTGCCTACCCCTGAACTAGACTGTTTCTCCTGTTCTGCTGTTTATTTCCCCTTAGATTCACTATCTACTGCTTCTGTCCTTTTGCCTACTCCCCGCTATATGTCTGTCCAGACCCTGTTTGTTCCAGACCCACATACATGTATGTTTATCTAGATATGGGCCACAGAAATTACCTGTTTGTGCACAGAAAACCTCGGACATTCTTTGTTTTATGGGGAGAAAAAGAAACACAAAGCCTCCAAAAGGCAAATTGCTTCTTTCTCTATCTTTAGAAAGCTCCAACTCTTTCTTCCTGCAATGAATTGTTGTTTTGGGGACAGATTTTAAGCTGTTTTGGAGGGGGGTGGGCATAACATAAATTTGCCTTTTCAGAAGTTCCCACTTCCATTTCCCCTTAAAATCCAGGGGGGGGGGGAGTCAATAAGCAGAATACGCAGGAGTTTTGTGGGGAGCTTGAAAGTGGAAATGGGCAGCTTACCTTTCTACCAAATGCAGCTTTGAGCATTTAGGTATGTAGGAAGGAGCCAGTTTAAAGTCTCTGGAAGAAGTGAGGTCCTTATGAGATAATAGGTGCCCTTTCCCTTGAGACATCCTCTGGTTTGGGAGGAGTCATCCTTTTGCTAGTTTCTGTGCTTGGTATTTTATATAAAATCAGGAATACTGAGGTAGAAGATCAAAGGCTATTTAAGCTGAAGGCCATTGTTCTAATGATCGGACATTCTGCATTTAGATAATAAGATGATGGCTTGATTAACTCTGCAGGTACGTATCCTGAAGATCTCTTCCTATTACGGATAGCAAGAGTAATGTTCACTTGGAAATGTATGGTTTTTCAATTGTGTTGAATAGAGCACTAATTAAGGAAACTTTACTGATTCTTCCAAATTACATCCAAATTGTGCAATTGTTACTTAGGGACAGGTTCACGTTCTGATATCTTTATGCAGATACACATGGTGATGATGAATTTCAAGAGGCAATTAGGCGAAGTCTTGAGGAAAAGTGAAGATGTCTAAAGATGGGTGTACCAAAACATCTACCTGACTTCAAAGAAATTGAAATTTTTTCACCGTTTATAAAAACATTAAAAATGTACTGGTTATTATTTCAATGTTTCAGTGGCATTGTAAAAACTGAGCTCTATCTATCATCAAGCACTAGCAGAGTTCAGAACCTGTTGTAAAATTTAACTAATGGGATTTCAGTCATCCCTTCTCATGGCTTAAGCAGTAAACAGTTTTAAAATGTGATATGGCCAAGCTTACTTTAAAAATATAAGAACATGGCAAATCTGCTGAGTCATAAGATCTGTTAAGTTTACTTTTTTTTCCTAATGTCTGACCTGAAAACTGAATGTTATGATTTATGCTGCTTTTTTTTCAATCTGTTCTTTTCTGGATTTTAATATTTTACTTCTACTGTTCTGTTGACTTTATTTTGTAGTAGAAACAGGTATTAATCCAGAATGTCTAGAGTGCCTTTTCTTGCTTCATCAGTTTCTGAGGTGAAATTTAGACACTATCCTGAAGATTACAGTCTATAGGCCAACTTGCAAGGAATCTATTACAATTCACTTAAACTTGAGGTCGACGAACTAGTTACTTTCTGTTAGCTGTCTCTTCATTCTTATGTACATGTTTTAATGTGGAGAATGAATACAATGCCAAATAGACTGAATGTATTTGTATATTTTGTTTCCTGTTATTAATACTGCATCAAAGTATTTTCCTGTTTGTTTTTGACAATATTTAAATGTAACTTCAGGAAGCTGAAGTCTTTCTTTGATTTTATGTTTTTAACTTATTTGCATTTCTCAGAACATAATTATATACTTCAGCTTAATTAAAATACCAGCTATTGTTGTGTTGCTTCGCATATCAGTCAAGTACTATTTGAAAGTTTTCATTTTCATTTTTTCTAGGTTCATAAATTCCATTTGGCTTAGTTTGTCTAAATAAAAATGTTTACAGAGAAGTAGAATGCAGACGATGACGCTAATTTTATACTTATGTTTGTACTGCAGGCTTACTGAAAAATTGGTTTGGAATGAAAACTTACTTTGTGTGACAGCAAAATAGCCTTTTTGTAATGGACATAACACTGCAAGTATATTAACTAGATTAATATATTAAGACTTGGTGGCTTGGAGGACAGATTGTAATGGTTTGATCTAATAAAACATTCTATACAAATATACGTGCTGTTCTCCAAAGCCTTTTATGTCCTTGTTGAAACCCTCTGCCTCTACTAAAATAAGATTCTAGTCGGAAACCATTTAATATTTTAGCAGGAGCCTAAGAACTTCTCGTGACACCTGCCTTGCTCCATTCTCCCTAATATTAAGAGAAGAAAGGGGAAGCCTTTGCTGCAGATATCTGGCCAGTGCCATAAACTCAATAATAGTAATGCATGGTTACCATACAATGGTTAGTTCAGGAAATAATGCAAGAAAATTCATACTAACTCTTATAAAAACAACCTCATCTATGCCTGTCATTTAGGAATGGTCTCAAACACTCAGTTTGAGTGTTTGAGACCAAATGTAGTACTTATACAGTTTTCTAGACTGTATAAGTACTACATTTCATTGGGATCAAATATTTCAGCTACAGAATTGCTGCCTGCTTGCATATTAAGTTCTCTGACTCTGTTACAAGAAATATGTGTTTACTTTCTCATATGCAAATGCACAGATAGTTTTATGGACAAAGCCATGTTTAAATAGAAGATTCCAAACTCCTATTTGCTATATCATTTCTTCATGTAATCTAGCACTTTCTGTAAATAGAGTATATCCCTTTTTCTTTCTCATGTTATATATTTTTCAAATAATTTTCTTTCAAGTCATTCTTTCCATTTTTTTTCTTCAGCTTGCTAGGTTTGTGTCAGCAACTGTATACATACTACATACTCTCCTGATCTATTAATCTTTTTGCTGTAAATATAGTTGGTTTTGTTTTTAGCCGCAAGAATATCATTGCAAAGAATATCTTAGAAATCTTGTTAAAACTGTCCCAGGAATAAATCCTGTAAGATGACTTTGTCTCAAGTATATTCTATTAACCTCTGAATATAAAACCATATTTACAACAGCTCAGGTATTTGCTGATGTGATTAGCACAAATGCTACATTTAAAAAAATTATCCCAATATGCTAATATTCTGCCTCTGAAACACTTGATTCTTGGGAGGAACTGAAGATGTGCAAATTATTTCTAAATATCACTCAGGAAAACATCTGTATTTGTATATTATTTTAAGCAAACATTGATTGGGTATCTAGCCTCATGCTAGGATGAAGTGAATATTACAATGGAACTATATAAATGGGTGGATTTCAATCAGAAAGGGATGTTGCTACTTTCCAACAAAGATGGTCCAGAAAAAGGAAGACTTTTAAGTCCCCAAAAGTACAGGAACTGCTCTTTTTCCGTGGATATTATCTCAAGATGTTATAAATGCTGTAAAATAAAAAGTGAAATAAAAAAGTATTTGGTCTGACACTGCATTGGTATTCTAAAGTTTGTTACTACTATCAAAGAACTAGACTCTTCATCTCAAATATTTCTGGGCTGTTGGATTCTAGGTCCATTATTCCAACTTGTTTGATTGGAAAAATTAACATATGTTGATGGAAAAAAATAATAAAAAAGATTGATGAGGGATTCTAGGTCCATTATTCCTAGTCAGGTAAAATTCTGGAATTTGTAAGTACCACCATTTTGAACTTCATAGTGTCCTCATTCCTGATGTGTTACATATGACCTTTAGGTATCTTTTGAAACTGATATATATCTCCCTCCTATAAATGTTTAATCAGAAATAAATAACTGAGTTCAAAGGATTATACCCTCAGAAAATGCAAATTTTAGAAAAATGTTGGATAAAAAAATATTGCTTTTAAATAAGAAAAAAAAACAAAACAATACTGAGATGTGTAACAAAAGAAAAAAAACCCACAAAGAGTAATTTAACAAAAAAGTGAAAAATATATGACAAAAAGTCAGCATGTTATAACAAAACAATTACAATTCTATGTACACTTTTTATTGCTTTTAAAATAAAGGAAAAAAGTACAAAACAAAAAATACTTTAAAAATACCTTAAGTGTTTAAAAATAGGTTTAAAAATGCAAAGTATAAATGTCACTACAGTAAACAATTACAATTCTATATATAGTCATAAATTACAATTCTATAGGTTACAAATTATAATTCTATATATAGTTTTATAGTTACAGTTCTATATAAATATTGAAGGTAAAACGCATACTTTTTATATATAGCTGGCAAGGTGGTCGTAAGTGGCAAGTGCAATTAGGTTTTCAATCTGAGTTAAAGGGCCATTGTTTCTCATGCTGCTGGATCACTCTTGGCATGGTGGATCTATATACATGAGGTTTATAAGAAGAGATTGGACAACCATTTGTCTGAAATGGTATAGAGTCTCCTGCTTGAGCAGGGGATTGGATTAGAATACTTCCTAAGTCCTTTCCAACTCTATTATTCTGTTAAATTATTTATTCCATTCATTTTTAATATTTGCATAGCAAATTGATTTATGATAACCAGTATTTATAAAAATGGTTTTTTAGTTTTAAAGGATTTAGCAAATTCTACTATCGGAGGTCTCTCAAGCTGAAAATATGCTAGTGAAAGAAAAAGATCTGAATACATTTGAAAGATTCATAATAGTTAATGGCACACATGAATAATATTAATCATTGGAAGGAAAAGGAGGGATGAATAAGAATCAATCTTTAAGAGATTATAATAAAATATTGTCCTAACATGCTTTTTCCAATTAAGGTTTCTTTTTAAAACCATGAATTTGTGATACATTTTCTTTAAAACTAAGGCATCCAGCAACTGCTATAATATTTTCAGAAGAGTTTCCTATGTATAATTTTTCATTCCTCAATTTTTAAAAGAAGCCTGAAAAATATGTGATTAACTATGCCGTTCTGTAATTCTGGTGCTAAATTGCATACATTCTCAAAAGTTTGTAGAAATACATTAATTTTCTGAGGAATTACTGATTAAAAATTAGTGTTAACTACATTTATGAACATAGCACATATTTATATCAACATGGCACTTCAGTGTGATGGACTTTGTTCCAAAGTGGAATTAAGAAAATTCAGTTTAGTTAAATTGAGACAGTATGATTAAAAATCACATTTAAACGTTTTTACCTGTTATATTAAAAATTGCTATTTAAATTATATACTACTAGATTAAAAGATAAAACATGTCTTTTTAATAAAAGAGCCAGTTTAGTCTAGTGGTTAAGGCACCAGGCTAGAAAGTGGGAGACTGAGTTCTAATCCCACCTTAGGCAGAAAATCAACTGGGTTGACCTCGGGCAGTCACTCACTCTCAGCCCAACTCACCTCACAGGGCTGTTGTGTGGAAAACAGGAGGAAGGTGTATTGAATGTGCTTGCCGCCTTGAGTTATTTGTAAAAATAACTATGAAAAAGGGATACAAATTAAATAAATAAAAGGCCAATTCCAGCATAATTATAGAAATGCAGATCATTTCACTCCATAACACAAAAACGGAATGTAATCAGGGCCAAAGACCAATTTGCAAGCTCAGAAATTTCTTGACGTTCCGTACTTCCGTCTACATGAATAAAAACAACTATACAGGGGAGGGGGGAACGTAATTGCTTCCTTCCTTTGCTGTTGACCTAGAAAAAATGTTTTTTTTTCTGTGTAAGATATAGATAGAGCAAAAAGTTGAACTCATGATGGAGCTGAAGTGATTTCCATTCATTGCATGGACCAAATGCCTCCTCAAGCAGGTTTCCCACCTATGTTGTAACAATGCTAACTTGTAGCAAAACTTGGGAATTCCAGGTTTGGCATGGAGCTGATAAGAACTTGATCCCTGAACCTGAGACATGTTTAGTTTTCCAAAGGATTTTTTTTTTGCCTACCAAATGCAAATTCCCAAATAATTCAACCAGCCCAAATGAAAGGCTAGAACTCAATCTGTCAGTTTCTAATTTAGCACCTTAAATCATTATCCTAACAATCCCAATATTTCCCATGGCCACACAACACTATTAACTTTTCCCACAACTAAAACTGCCTAAAGCACGGGTGTCAAACTCACCATGTCATGTGATGTGTCACAACGGATAACGACTTTTTGCACTGTTGGAGCTGGGTGGACGCAGCCTCCGTATGATGCAGCCAGCCCACTGGTCAGCAGTTTGACCCCCTGGTCTAAAGTAATCAACTGTAATCATTTTCCAGAAGTGCTTCAAATTACTCATCCTGAAGACAAGGTCAACTGTCTTGTTTTTATGTGATTGGAGATTCTCAATTGTTGGGGGGTGGGATCATGTTGCCTCCCTTCTGATCAGTTGCCAAGCTTTAGTTCAGACAATTCTGTCAATTATTGTACCCACTATCTCCCTTTATACTATAACCACAACAAGAAAAACTGGGATGGTGGTTGCTCAGCAAGGCATCCACGTGGGTGTCTCACTTAACAACTAAAACAAAATATGACCAAAATTCCAGGCTCAGTTTTGGTTTTAAGTCAAAGATTAACTGTAGTCTTCTGTCTTTATTTCTTCTGGTTTTTTTACTTTCTATTTTCTTTTAATTTGTATTAGATTTTACTACTATAAATTCTTAATAAAATTATACATATTTTAAACATTAAATTTATTCTCGCCCCTGCAAATCCCTTTTGTCTTACAGCATCTGCAATAATGTGCATCTGCATTTAGGAGTTTTGTAGACTTTTTTAAAAAAATTCAGTTATGACAAGTCTAGTGAAGTGCCTTGAGTTCCTGCCAATATTAACTCACAAAGACTTTCTTCCTGTTATTTATCTGCACTGCAGTAGTTTCTCAGTTTTTTCTAACTATCAGCATGCTAGTGTTACCTGGGGACAGAGGGAGGACAATACCTTGCAATGGTTTTATTCAAAAAGAGCTCACATATTACACCCAGAATGCATGTAAAACAATTTTACTCAGAACAAACATTCTACACCAAGAATACATAAAAGAGCATGTGTGCCTTAAGAGAAAAAAAAGCACAAAAACCCCTATTTTGAAGCCACAAAATGGATATTTTTTGATCAAGAGACCAAACTGTAAGTGGACTGAAATTTAAACTCTGCAGCAAACTTCCCCTAAGTGTCTTTAATTCATCCAGGATTTAATCCCATTTTTCTCTATGTATAGACTAATTGAACCACATATTAACCACACATGAGGTTACAAAACACTATTTAGATTTAAATACCTAAATTAATTATGTCATAAGGCAGCCAACATCCCACTTTTTCAAGGAGCCTAGAAGATTAAACTAAAAAAATGCACAGAATCTGAGTAGGAGCAGCAGACACCTTCACCTTTAGTTTTGTGCTGGTAAGCGGGGAGGACTTCGGAGGATCCCCCTTTCAATTCCGCTCTCCCCAGAGAAATGTAGAGGTAACCCCTCAGGGAGTAACCCACAGCTTTTCCCCATTCTGAGGTGAAAAGCCAGAGATGTTGTCGAAATATTAATTTGGGGTTCTAACTGGAGCCGAGGCTGTGCAAAAATAAATAAAAATGAGATCTAGACAGCTGTGAGGAAAGAATTATTATTTATTCCTAAAAGCAAAAGAGTTTGCCTTTAGGCCAGGGGCAGGCTGCAGAGAAATGGAGTACAGCAGCAGATTTTTATAGGGGGAGCTTGTCCAAAGTGAAGTGTCTACATGTTGATTCTAGACCTAGAGGGTAACTTATTTGGGGGTTTGAGGAAGGTTGTTAACTTTAGTTGATTAACTTAGTTTCAGCTTGACTTATCAATTATCTAGCGGAGATAATTGTGGATTCTGTTAATATTTTAAAGGAAAGATGGAAACAGTATAAAGAACAAAATATGCAGTATTTGGATATAAAACTTCTCACAATGCCTCCAGGCAAAAAATGCCCCTTCCCTAATTGTACCTTCTGGTTAACTCTCCCAAGCCTAAACCTTTTTTCCTGCTCTATGAGGGGGAGGAGGGAGCCACCGCTATGCCCCTGCCTGTCCTGGGGAGGAAAAAATGGTGGGCGGTGGGCGGATGGGCAGAAGTGCACCCGCAAGAATTCAACGCGGCGCCTGCTTCAAGCTGGCTGGACACATCACAATGGCAAGGCGATTATGACTTTGGCGAAAGCCCCAGTTTAAGCTCTCAGCTCCGGGCCAGCCGGGGTCGCGCTAATTAGACTGGGGAGTTCGTGCTTTGGCGGGAACGACGAGCCCAGGGACATCAGAAGCCCAGCCCTCGCTGTTTCATATAAGCCGGAGGACGACATGGACGCCCAGCCATTTGCGCTCCGGAGCCTCTTTGACCGTCACCTAGTCTTGCAAGTGCGCGAGGGGAGGGGCGACTCCGGGGCTGGAGCGGCTCTTCGGCGTCCAGGCTGAGGCGCCCGCTCCCGTCACTGCAGCTGCTGACCGGGCAAGCGCCGTGCGGCGGGCAGAGGCGCCAGGCGATGGCCACGGCTTCTCGCCTTGCCATGGCCCAGGCCAAGGTCGGCAGCGCCAAGAACAGCGGCGGCGAGGCAGTCCAGCAAGCGGGCACGGGTCAGCAGCCCCGAGGGCGCTTCTTCCGCTCCACTTCCATGGCGGACCGTTCCAGCCGCCTGCTTGATTGCCTGGACCAGCTGGAGCGGAGGTAAGGCTGGGAAGGGCAGGCGTTCCAGCCGAGGGGCAGCGCCCTTGGCTCTTCGGAGGAGCGTGTGTGTGAGAAAAGCGCAGCGTTTGTCTCCCACCGTCTTCCTCGCCTCCTCCTTCTGGGCAATTTGCGGTGGGGATTTTGTCAACTGCTTCCTCGCGAGAAAAAAGAACCGTCTTGGCCGCGTCTTTAAAAGTGTTCCTCCATTATTATTATTTGGATTGCTTCGATGCTCCGCATCTCCGTTTGGGCTCTGGAATATTTTGCAGAACGTTTTTTTCCCGTTTGATAAATGGAGGAGAATCCCCGACGTGCCTTCTCTTGCTTTTAGTGGTACTTGTCAGGCCTCGGTTCAGCATGACGCAAAGTTTGGGGGGCTCTGGGGAAAATGTTTATGGTCCCAAGTATAATCTCCGGGTGCTTTTGAAATGGGACGGGGTTTTTCCTCAGCCTCTCTGGACGTCAGCCATGTAAAATCCTTCCTCGTTTGGAAGGCTGTAGCCTTTCCAAGTAGGGAGGTGGGATGAATTGCGTGAGAGAATTGATTTTCTATATACGATTCTGAATTATTCTGAATGGATTAGGAGAGTTTTGGATCTGTTCGGTTGGGGAAAAAAAACCAAAATTCCCTTGTTTAAGGGCTGGTGGAATATATGGGAGTTGAGATTAGAGATGGCAGATTTAATCGTACACCCTCCTGTATACCTAGTAACATTAGATAACAATTTCCAAATGTTTTCTGTGTGTTCTTATGATTTTGTGCACGTTCATGTCTCTGAATTAGATCAGAACATGAACATTTCATGCACTGGCTTCCCAGTGTAGCTTCAGGGATCTGTAGTCAGTGACACTCATTCTGGTGCATTCCATTTGAGGTAGATGGATTAGCAAACCAACATGCCAGTTTCCTGAAATGGTGGGAGACAAGGCTTGGGCACAGTACTTTCTACTGTAAACTAGTCTCAAGTAGAGAAAGATCCAGATCCCATCAAAAATGAAGCCAATCCAGGCTGAGCACCAACAGCGATTGGCTGAGTTTGCATATTTATAACATTGGGCTATAAACCATGGTTTACTCATCAGTAAGACTAGGTGTACACAACATCTAAAGCCAAACCACATTACATAATGACTTAGCATGATATTGCCTCAAATTTTTAATTTCAGGCTCTTTTTCATAATTGCAACAGACTCATTATTGGTACTTAAATGACTATTTCCATTGTTTAGCATTTCTTTACTTCTTTACACTTGCCATGGATATTTACTTAGTCTTAAAACAGGATAGATAGCCTGAAAAATTCACCCTTTACCAAAAGACATGTAAAGAAATCAAATAACTATAACTTAGAGCACTACCCTTCCTGAATATGATAGTTGAGACAGAGATAAGATTATTAGGTTAGACATATTTCTTAATCTAACAAAAGCATATCAGTTTTTTTAATGAACACTATAAAGTTCATAATTTTCACTAGGAAATTTAATTTATTACTGCAATTCAGGCTTTTTTCATGGGGAAAAAATAAAAATTGCTTAAATAATTTCATCAAAAGCTTCATATGAATTTTTAATTGAACTGAAATTCAAATATAAGTTGCTCATTTAATGTTGAATGTTCTATATTTTACATTTTTTCTATATTTTCTGTATTAATTATGTAGTAAATTATGTACTTCGTGGTTCAATTAAATTACATTTAAAGAAGTTATTGATTCATTTTTTATTTTAGTTGAGCAGTACATGACTACTAAGTGACAGCCACTGACTACATAGTTGGATTCACAATTATGGTCTGATTTATATATCATGTTAAGCCGCCCCACCCCAAAATATGCAAACCAGAACTATAGGGGTTACTCTTAGACTACAATGCTATACATACATAGAATTATATAATACATTTTCTAAATGACTTCATCACATTTTTTATGGTTAGGATCTCAAATTCTAAAAAACAAATAGTATTGCTGTGTTACAAATTATATATATGCATCACTCTATAATTTCTGACTATATAATCTGCCTTTCTTGTAAAACATATTTTAAACAATGTCAAATGAATTGCAAATCTTCTGTCATGTTTATTTTGAAATGGCAATCTCACACAAGTAAATTATTTACTACTGAATGAGTGTTTATGGGTGCTACCATAGCTACAATGATAAATTTTTTGCAATCTTAATTTTTCTGCATGTGTTCAAGAATGAGGAAGAAATTTTGTTCTGGAAAGTGGTCCAGCTTTGTGAGTGAAGTATAACAGGTGCTATGATAGAAGAGACCTATATATAGTTACAAATGAGGAAGGATTCAGAAGGTCCAGCTGTCATTCCAGAAAGCATACGAGATTTGGCCTCTTTTTTTGTGGACAAGATTGTCTTTACTTTTTAGATTTAGTGAGATTTAATTTTATTGAGATTTATTCTTTGCTAGATCTATATAGAACTTCAGCTCAGTGGACCAAAAAGGGGACTTTAGGAATTTATATGGTGCTATTTCCATTCTTTCTTGATATACCAATTCAGATGTCCATTCTTCCCCATCCTAGGGCTTGAAACACATAATCCATATGCCTTTTAGCATTCAAATTGAGCTTTGCATTTTGTATGATTAGGATAATCTAGCTATAACAATTCTGCAAATTGACAGAAATCATTCAGGTGAGATAGATAATAAATGGATGGCAAGGCTATAATTTTCTGAATGCAGATAGATTCTAGAATGTCAAAGAAAACTAGTTTTGCCTCTGACATGGCAATTTTCTGCATAGAGATAGTTCTGTATGAAAGATTATCTGGTATTGTGGGTATCTCCTGCTATCTAGTGTAATACATTCTGTACACAGATTTGAGTGTTAAAGAAGCTCAGAATCTTTTTCATACATTTAGTTATTTGAATATGTAACTGCTATTCCTAGAATATCTAATTTTAGCATGCCTGGAGGACACAAAGTTGGAAAAGGGGCGTTGTCTTACCTGAACGCCTTTTCTCATTACGGAAATGGAGAATCCACCAATGGGTTTTCTCTGTCTGCCTGCTCTTGAGACCAAGTAGCCAAACTTGACACGCCCCCTCTTGCTAGAAGATCCAGTCTTGATGAGGGCGAAAGTGGCTGAAGGTGGACGAGGTGTTGGCTCTCAATCCCTTAATATTGCTCTAAATGACCTAAAGGGTGGATGTGGATTCTCCATCTCCGTACTGAGAAAAGGCGTTCAGGTAAGACAACGCCCCTTCTCCAGTACAGGAGATGGAGAATCCACCAGTGGGACATACCAAAGCCTCACTGTCCTGATGGGTGGGAAACAGATAAGGCCGGAACCATTTCCCCGGAGATCATCTGCTGAAGGACCCTCCGACCAAAGAAGGCGTCTGCGGAAACGAAGCAGTCAATCCTGTATTGGCATATGAATGGGGAGGGCGAGGACCATGTTACAGCCCTGCAAAACTTGATGGACGCCTGAGTGGCCCATGCCGCAGATGTTGCAATGCTTCGAGTGGAATGGGCTGTAAGATGACTTGGAGCCGGCAGGGAAGAGGACTGGTACGCCTCCGCGATGCAGGCCCTGATCCACCTACCAATAGTGCCAGCGAACCTTCTGTCCCAGAAAAGCTGGACGGAAGGAAATAAATAGAGCCTCAGATCTACGAAAAGGCTCCGTGCGCTTGATGTAACGCCACAGGGCCCTGCGGACGTCCAGTGTGTGCCACTGCTGCTCCAAGTCATGGGAAGGATTGGGACAAAAATTTGGTAAAATAACTTCCTGTGCCCTATGGAAGAGCAAGTTGACCTTGGGCACAAAAGCGGGATCCAACCGAAGGACCACCTGGTCTCAATGGAAGATGCAAAGGTCATTCCTGACTGAGAGGGCAGCCAGCTTGGAGATACGTCTGGCTGACATGATGGCGATTAAGAATGCCACCTTAAGAGACAAGATCCGCAACAGAATCGTAGCTATGGGCTCAAAGAGCAGTTTTGTGAGAGCGCGAAGCATGCGAGGCAGCTCCCAAGAGGGTTACCTGTGTACCACAGGAGGCCTGGTGTTGCACGCACTTTGATGAAGGTGTGTATCCTAGGGTGATGATCTAAAGGAACTGAATCCACACAAGTGAGCAATGTTGACAGGGCTGCCACCTGTCACGAATGGTCTCAGGGGTCAGGCCTCTGTCCAGACTGTCCAGAAGATAATCTACTATCTGAGGGATTGTCAATTTGTAGACATCCAGTTGTCGCCTTCTACACCAGTGCAAAATTTTTTTCAAGTAGAATCATAAATGCAATTGGTTGCTGGGCGACGAGAGGCCTGAATCATGGTAATTGCGCAAGGGGAAAATAACTTTTGTGTCATGATACTGCGCTCAAGCGCCAGACGGTCAACTGTACCCATTGAGGGTCCGAGTGTTGGAGGATCCGCTGATGCAAGGACCCGCGATGCGGAGGAATCTTCCACGGAGGAGACCGGGAAAGATTCATCAGGTCTGCAAACCAGGGCCTCTGTGGCCAGTACGGGGCCATGAGGATCACTTCTGCCTGCTCCTGGAGTAGTTTGCGGATGGTCACCAGGATGAATGGAAGGGGAGGGAGGGCATAAAAGAGACCTTGTGGCCACGGAGTCCGCAAGGTGTCCGTTCCTTCCGCCCCTGGAAGAAAATAGTGGGAGAAGTACCTGGGGAGTTGGGCATTGGTCGTCAACGCAAACAGGTCAAGGATCGGATGGCCGAACCTGTGGAAGATCTCAGAAAACAGATCCGGATGTAACCTCCATTCTGAGGGGTCTACCGTAGAGCGACTCAAAAGATCTGCCTGCTGGTTCTCGACCCCCGAGATGTGTTCAGCCCTGAGAGAGGCTAGGTTGGTCTCTGCCCAGGAACCCAGGAACTGTGCCTCGGACATAAGGGACCTGGACCTGGTGCCCCCCTGTTGGTTGACGTGTGCCTTGGACGCTACATTGTCCATGAGGATCAAAACGCGACGGCCCTTGATTCAGTGTCTGAATTGGCGA